CAGCACAAAAACCATATGGTCGCAATGATGAGCTGGCCACGCAGGTGTCGATCAACAACTTGGAGGTGTTTGTGGATGCTTCGCACGCCCTGGAGCATGAGAACTACAAGTCGGTGACTGGGGTGATACTATGTGTTGGGGGTTCTCCCATCGCATGGGCAAGTGGCAGACAGCCGTTTGTTACCACTTCAACAGCCGAAAGTGAACTGGTGAGCTGTGGAGAAGGTTTCCAGTGTGGAGAAAGCCTTGCAGCACTCCTGGAGGTGATGGGCGTTGGGGACATCAACAAGACCCTCAACTGCGATTCCAAAAGCGCACTTCACTTGTGCACCAATGATACAGGTAGTTGGAGAACAAGACATCTGAGGATCAGGTATGCTCGACTTCGAGAAGCGTTTCAAGATGAGCTCTCGCGATGGTGTGCGAGGCATGTCAGTGGTTTGGTGCTTCCAGCTGATGGAGCGACGAAACCGCTTCAAGGACCAAAGATGGACAACTTTGTGGACTCCATCTACCTGGACGATCTCAACGATCTACGACGTGCAGAAGATGAGTTGAGAGCGGAAGAAGAGATAGTAGTGAGGCTTCTCTCAACTGGCCAGACGCTGATGGAGACAGATGACTCTCAGTGTCAAGAAACTGGTCTGGGCCTCATTGTTGCTGCATGTTGGATGATGAAAAAGAGGGAAAGGGAAAATGAACCTTCCCCACCATGGTCAGTTAGGGAAAATGAACCAACTGACATGGAAGAGGCCAACGTCAGGGCACCAAATGAACCGGCGTTGAGACATGAGGGTAGGGAAGATGAACCACCCCGTAGGTTGATGAAAACCATGGTGAGGGCACCAAATGAACCCACCATGCAAGAAAAGGGCAGGGAAAATGAACCGCCCAACAAGAGCCAAAAGGAGGCCATGAAACCTTCCCCAAAAGGGATGATCGATGTGGAGGGGAAAAGAAACCTTAGGCTGAGTACTATCCTCAAAGGGATCAAGTTTCCTCCCCACAAAGATCATCTCAAAACTCTGACAACTGCCCTTCGGGCTGCCATGGGCCGCAACTTCGGGCGCTCAAAGTCAGCCATGGGAAGAGACGTCAACAACAAGGTCTTTCGAAGAGGCGCCAAGGGGATGGGCATGGTTTCAACTGCAACTTGGTTGGTCGTGCTGAGCAATGGCATGGACTTGAAGGAGATCCAATTGAGGACTTCTCTGTTGAGGACCTTGGGCTCGAGCCGCCAACTGAGGTTTTGGGTGCCGGGCGAAACGCCATGGAGAGCACGGCGAGGTCGTCAGGGAGTTCGGCAACAGGAACTTCTTCACTGCCGGCTTCGAGGGCAACCAAGGGAAAAGGCCACAATGGCCAAGATGATGGCCAGCCTGGCCATGGAAAGGGCCAAGGAGGTCACTACAAAGGCCAACAAGGCCAGATGGACGGTCAGTCTGACCAGAAAGGAAAGGGCACTGGCAAGGTGTCTGAACGTGGTAGGGTGGCAATGTTGAGCCCTACAACTTCAGCCATTTGGGCTGGAGCAGAACCCCAACCACTTGGACCAGTTCAACAACGTGGACAAGCAGCAATGGGAACAAGAGTGATGAGGGGCAGTCGCTTTGGGTTTGAGTACGTGCCGATCCGCAACTACGATCCACGTCTTCGAGAACCAGAACCACAAGAGCGACCTCCAAGACCACCAGCGCAGCAGGTGGATGACACGCAGTCTGATGGGAGCTACGAGTTGGTTTCAGAGGCTGTGGATGAGGAGCAGCCCCTACAGACTGAAAGGCAAGTGCAGTTGGAGGGCAAGCACGGTGCAATGGCTATGCCCACACCAGGTGGAGATGGAGATGATCCTGGCCGAGATCGTCGAAATCGACGAGAACCAGAACCAGACCATGGGCCGGATCCTCCAGCGGATGATGAAGATGAAGATGAAGAAGAAGGTCCACGCAGGACATGCACAACCCTGGAGGTCAAAAGGCAAAGAATGGCTTGGGCGCGACCCCCTGGATACTGGTTTCGGGGACGTGGCAGAGGCACCAAGCAGGATGTTGAGACGGGCAAAGATGGGTCGACCATCATCCACGGGGTGCTGAGTCCGAACCTTTCCTGGCAACGGATCTTCGCGAAGGGTTGTCGACCTCGCCAACTCTTCACACATGACCAAGGAGGAAAAGGTTCAGCACAGGCAGCTCCGGTGCTGATGGGGCGTGGCGATACGCCGGCTGAACAGAGGAGAAGCATCCTCCTGGCGACGGCCAATGCAAAGGCGGTCCAGGCGTTGCGCACCGCCGACCATGTGAATGTCACCAGCGGGGACTCCAATGAAGTGGCTCTGGCGGTGGAGGCAGCGACGGCAGCGGTGGACTACGCTGCGGATGTGCAGGAGATGACGGAAAGCGGCACCACCCCAGACCAAGCTGGCAGCAGCAGCAGCCGAAGTCGCACCTCGGTCGCACGGCTTGGAAAGGGCAAACCAGCCACAACTGGCGAGCTGCGAGCTCACTATGCAGCGAAGGGCAAGGCGAAGGGCAGTGACGCCTTGGAGCCTGTGGCAGATGGTTTGCATGAAGATGACAGCGAGACGGCGGAGGAAGAGGCCTCTGAGAATGACATGGAGGTCATCCCTGAAGAGGACGAGGGCGACGATGGCGATGATGGTGGAGGTGATGACGGTGGGGCCGAAGGGCCTGCAACAGACCCACCAACAGCTACCATAGGAACTGAGGTGGCAGTCACTTCGACCACTGCGGGTGACCCAGCGAATGTTGAGGAGGAGATCAACGTAGAGCCAGAGAACGTTGAAGAAGAAGTCCATGTGGAGCAGGACACAGAGGTTGAAGATGCGCGCCTTTCAAGGGTGGTGCGCAACGACCCGGAGCATGAGATGGCGCCGAGAGTCCCAGGAAGTTTGGGGCAACAGATGCGGCAAAATGCAGGCTTGGGGATGGCACCAGCAAATTCAACGCAGAATGTGCAACAAGTGGTCACAGCGTTGATGCAGGGCCAGACCATTCCCTTGACGTATGGGCGATGGGTCCAGTGGGATCAGACCAGTTGGGTTGGATCCATGCAGACCTACAGATATGGTGTGCTCAATGGCTTGCAGGTTGAGATGGACTTCGCGCAGGTGGGCTTGATGCTTCGCCGGCCAGTGGTTCCTGGGGTGACGCATTCGCTTGCACTCCAAGGAAATGTGGTGGCTGTGCCGAAGAATGGGCTGACCAGAGAGAGCACAGAGGAGGAGGCTGACCCAGGAGTTCCTTTTGAGCATGGTATGGTTCAGCCTGGCAAAAAGCCTCCCCCTGCAGCTTGGTTTCAGCGACAGAACATGGAGGAGTGGATGAACCGCATGGCCAAACCACCAGCAGTTCCAGCACAACATGCAATGCCAGGTCCACCACCAAAGGGCCCACCACCTCAAGTGAGGGCGGGACCGCCTCCAATGGGTCCACCTCCGGCTAAGGTGATGCCGAGGGCAGCTCCGAACTATGTGCCTGGACCTCCACAAGGGCAACCACCAATGGCTGCGCCGATGCAGCAAAGACCACAAAGTCCGGCAGGATATGGTGGTGATCAAGGTGGCAGTCTGCAGCCACCACAACAGCAGATGATGGGAAACCCTGGTCAGAGGGCAACATTGTCCTTTATGTTGCGGATGACTGGCGAACTTCGAGCAGAACGAGGAGTTCAACCAGCCAAAGCTGCAGCGGACTTGGGTCTGCGACCGGTGTTGCGTCCGCCAACGACAACATCGAAGGCTGCAGCGAGTTCCACAAACGTTTATGTGGGGCGCCGTGAAGAGGCTGCCGATAGGGTGACGGTGAGATCCGATTCACCGGCCCTGTCAGTGACTTCGAGCTCTACGGCATGATCCAGGTGGAGCGCAATTTTGAAAAGATGCTCTTTTGAGAGCCGGACATTTTTCCTTTGGCAGAGTCTTTACTGCCGATAGATCAGCCGCGGTGTGAGTCTTTACATGCCAAGGTTGACTTTGAAAAGTGCGAGTCTTTACGCACTGTAGGTTTTTCAGATTTTAAGACCAGTAGAGCCTAACAACCACCTGGCATCACTGGCAAATCTAATTTCAAGAGCCTTGAGCCCTGTAAAGAGCCTGCCGAAGATAAGGCATGAAAACTCCCTTTTATGCACGACAAAGTCGTGGGGGGAGTGCAAAAGGGTTGATGTGCATGCATGTACAATAGGGTATGTGTAGGATCTGGTCTTATCACTGCTTGACAGGTGAAGTATCTGTTCTTATCAGTGTGACGACTGGAGGCTCTTTTAGGATCAAAAGGCGCGCTGCTCTGCCTTGCACAAGATGATTTAACCAAGAAAAACATGGAGATCTGTTCTAGGATTTTCATGTAGGAGTAACATGGATACTGAGCAACAATATGCATGGGCGTGCCAGAGAATGGTGTGCAACAATTACCACCAAATTGGCAATTTTGATGGGACAATTAGCTATGATAAACCGTTGGTTTTTTGGGATGTACACAAAGCCATATGGGTTATACAAACTAGAGGCACTGATGGGGGAAAACCTGGAAAAATCACAGAGTTTTTCAGACACATATGCGAAAATCACAGCTTTACATGGAGTTGTCAGTGGGCTGCTGAAAGGTAAGGCCCATCAGCCCCTGAGAAAATAGAACAAATCACTGGCAAAATCCATGGACATTGCTTAGTTTCAAACTGTTCCAATTACCATGGTAGTTTTTCGTAAACATATGACACCGGCTCACAAATAAATGGAATATATATATATATATATATATGAATACATATGAATACATAGTCCAAAACTTTGAAGTGCCCACCGGGTGTGAGCAAGTTCTTGGAAATTCTTCAACATTGGAACTTGTGGAGAGAGTATTCGACTTGCTATCTCAGAGTACCTGGAGAGTAGGAATCACAGCTGCACATTTTTTCAAGGACCAACACAGGGGCATCGTGCTCATCCTCTGACCACACAGGACTTCCACAATTGGACCAGCGTCAACCAACAGCGCGGTATAGCTCTTCTGCTTGAACTGAATGTCAGGCTCACCTCAAAACTGGTTTTCTCTGAACATGTTTGGAAACGTGGCCAAAGTCCACCGGTTCATCATCATCATCATCATCATCAGCATCATCATCATGTTCATGTATATATGTATATATTATATATATATACATATATATATATATCATATCTATTCATATTTTACATTTTACATCATTTTAACAATCAAAAACATCCGATGAACAGGGGGATCCGCAATTTTTGGGCAAACCCACACCAAATTGTGGGGAAGTCGCCATTTACAGATGGGTCAATGTGATGTGTTTGGTGGTTTGGTGGCTGGTTTCTTGACAGCTCGTGTATCATGTCTCAAATCCGGCGAAAGTGAGAGTGGTTAAGGTCGATCATGTGGCATGCCTAGCAGTGAAACATATCATTTCATCTAGAGAATCTAGGTGTTTCCGAAACAAGGGGGGAAACAGCACATCAAATTGCCCTGTTCCTATTTTCGTCAAGTCGGCCATCGATTTCTTTGAATCTCTGGATGTTTTGTCCATATTTTCATATTCTGGTTGATTAAATGCCCATGATGGGATATGATGATATATGAAATGCCATGAAGTGCCCATCATATTCTTGATTTTCTTTTGTTGAAAGGATAAAATCACTTGCTTGGCCCATGGCCGATTGACCAGACACCAGACAGCGCGCAAAGCGCGCAAACCAAGGGGCCCATGACCACCAGCGCCACCTTCTTGAAGTTGGGTGTGTTGAATCCTGGAAAAAAGGGTCACCAAAATCAAAAGCACCACACAGAAATGCGGAAAAAACATCACTGAAACAAAACTATTTTAGCAAACATGCATAGATTTTTTTAAAGCAACAATATAAACTCTTTGATCCAATTTAAATCATGGATCAATTTACAAATTAGTAATCTCTCTCTCTATATATATATACATATGCTACCCCCCAAGACCTTAAAACCACCGCAAGCACCGATAAAAATTGCACAAGGGTAGGTCTTTGGGGGGGACCATATGTGTATATATATATTATATACATACATAAATAATAATAACAATATCCATATAATTCATATATCTGGGTAAATTATGATATTTCACTAACCTGAATTAAGGCCATTTGGGGATGATTCCCCTTATTAACCTTGGTTTCCAGTGAGGGAGAACAGTGAGGTCGTTATAATTTATCCATGCCGAGCATCTCTTTAGTGTCTCCATGCGTTCCTCTTTGACCTGTTGCCCCACAGGACCGCGTCAAAAAATAGTGGATTGAAACAACAAATATAGGGGTAAAATGGAAAAAATAATTGGGATGTACGTATAAGAATATATTAAATTATACCATATCATATTATATCATATTATATCATATCATATTTATATTTTATATAATATACTATATACGATAAATTTATTATATATTATATTATATTATATCATATTAAATATATATATATATATTTATTTATTTATATTTTATAATATACGATATATTTATTCTATATTATATTAGATTAGATTATATTATATTGTATTATATTATATCATATTATATCATACACTATATACGATATATTTATTATATATTATATTATATTTTATCATATGAGATATAATATTATATTATATATGATACATTATATATGATACTATATATATTATATATAATATATCATATCTTCAATATCAAATATTAAAGATTAAATATTATATATCACATATCAAAGACGATATGTTACATATTATATTTCATATATTATATATTAAACATTATTTCTTTAAATCAGATATATTATATGTGATATGTTCTATATTATATATTACATATCATATTGTATTATATATATACGTATATACATGTGTACATATATATATATATATATATATATTAATTGTATAATTAAATATATATATATATATGGTGTATCTGTATATGTTATGTGATGATATGTGTGGGTTTGGTACCTGAAAATGAGGGATTAACCACCTTTTATGGCTATGTTGTGTTGGGAACATGATGATAATGATAGACGCTTGGATTTTTTGGGACTCTATTTTTAAACACCAATGGAGTATTAGACTTTTCATGGACCCCTCACGTGTCATGCATCATTCCCAAAACTGACCCAGCGTCGCTGACCCTTAGAGATGTCGCCAAGCGGACGGGCGGCCAAGTTGGATTTCACTTCCATCACCAAATAGTTCCGGGGAACCTCAGTTCGACAGGCCCTGGATGGGTCCTGGATGACCTTTTTCGAAGCCTAGGAATGGCTTCGAACGGTGAGAATCCCATGTGAAGCTGAATTGAACAGGGCCCAAGTGTCACAGGCTGCATTTTAGCTGATGATATCTGTGATTCAAGTGATTCAAGTAGCACCCGTGTATTTTCGCCGCTCAAAACTTCACCTTCACCAGACAAAACACCTTTCCAACTCAAATGTCTGGTGCCCTACAGTAGAACGGTAATGGCCATGATGTACCTCGCATTTCTCATCGCTGTTCCAGTGGCTATGGTACTCCCTCTGTGAACAGAAGTCCGTGCTCACCTTTTGGGCTTCATCACCACCATATACCAGTCCCATCCCACAAAAAGACACGCAAAACCACTCTGTTCATTGGTCCCGTTTTCCGGATCTCATCCAGTCCAGAAAGCCATAGGAGTAATGGACTTCATCACACGTTGCAAGCTCCCGTCATCCATCGATGGCACCTCTAAGGTCAGCATAGGTTGCCCGGGCCAGAATGATAACGAACCATCGATGGGCAAAACAACGTGTTCCGTTGCATAGAACTGGGCCATTTGTTTCCATATAATGGAATCATCAATGATCATTCATGCTAATTGATACATCCTGTCAATAGCAAATCTTCGAAGTCCTGGCGAAACAGGCATCTCCTTTTGATCTTTTGTGGCAAATGATTCACCACGAAGCAGCATTTTTCACGTTAAGATTGATTCAAAAATGGCCAGGCGCCATGCCAACAGCCAACATTCATTTCATCATCTACCCTCTGGTACTTTCACAGTTCGCCAAAATGGCGATTTATAGTGATTTCTCCCATTGAACATGGTGGATCTTTCCATATTTTCCATGGTTTTTTGATGGTTTTTTGTATGTTTACCGGGCAGAGACCCTCGTTGCCAAGGCACATTGTAAGTAAAACTCGGCTTGTCGTTGCCTCAGCTGGGCCTTTAGGATCGATGATCGTGGGCTTTTGTGACGGGAAGGGTACCCGGCCTGGTAAACGTTTACAAAAAACGAACTGGAAAGATCCACCATTTTTAATGGGAAAATCCACTATAAATGGCATTTTATAGCGAAAATCCACTATTTCGACTGGGCCATTTTCAATAGCTATGTTAAATTACCAGAGGGAAATTCTTCATCACTGCTACAGTATATGAAAAAGATGATCTAATCCCGTTCAGGTGATACTGTATGATGTGGTAAACGCAAAAATCATTGTTTCCACCTACAGTTTGGGGGTCTCTGCACATCATCCCCAACATGGTCAGCTTTTTGCTCAACTCCTCATTTTCCATCGTCGCCTTGCAAATGACATACCTATTTCATTCCCGTTAAATCGCCATGACATATCATCAAAATCCATTTTTTTTGGTAAAACCCAATTCAAATCACCATTTTGAATCGCTACTGCTATAAATCCCAGTTTGCTTGGTTTCCCGCACGAATCCCTTTAGTACACCGTTTTTCCCGTTGAACTACCCACTTTCCATCGTTTTCCTCATTATATCCCCATGATATGGGTCAAAAACCCGGTACTCTGTAGTTCACTATTTCCTCACTTAGAAGGACTATTTTGGGGCGTACTCCGTCTTCGGACACGACCAACTATCAACTATCATATTATTATTGGTTATATGTAAATACATATGTATATATATATGTATACTTATATATATATATACACGTATATATATATACACACACATATATATATATATATACGTATATATATAATACACATGTGTAATATAATGTATAATATATTTTATATTAAATATTATATAAGAGAATATATATATATTATAACATGCAGATATAATAACAATATCTAATAATAATAATAAAAATAATAATATATAATAAACATATATAATGATCATATAAGGTAAATATAATAAATATAATATATAAATAATATATATATATTATATATATGTATATATATATATATGATATATAAATATGATATACATATATATGATATATCTATATATATAGTCCAATATAATATTATAATATATAATATATTATAATATAGAATAATATAATAAAACATAACATAACATAGTATAATATGATATACTATAATATAGAATATGTAATAATAATATTAGTAAACATGAAAATACCAAAAATATTAATAAATTATACAATATACAAAATATATATATATGTCCCACAAAATCCCAAGGAAATCAGAAATCCCCATGAAATATCCGAAATCACCGTGAACTCCTTGGTGAAGCTCCGTGCGCGCCCAGGTGCATGCACCGGCCACCTTTGGCTTGGGCATCCCGCTGCGAGCAGCCCAGTCTTGGATCTTACGGTCCTAGGCGTAGGCGTTTTTTCATGATCAGATCGTATGTATATTCTACATAAATACATAGTCACATAGATACATATAGATACACATAATGTATATATATATGCACATATGCATTAATACACATATGCACAGACTCGGTGGATTGCCCGGACTGTATTGAGGATGCCCTGTTTTCCGGCTGAGGATTTGAGGATTCAGATCATGTTTGAACACCGTGAACTAACCTTCCGGGCAAACCGTTCCGGGTCTTGCCGTATACATAGATATAAGTGTATACATGACATGCATATATCAATATATGTATAATGTATATATAATATATAATATAGATATATGAAGACATATGACTATATATGACGATAAATGATGATACATGATGATATGAGATGATATATGACGATATATGGCTATGTATGATGATATATGATGATATATCATAATATACATGATATATGATGATATATGAATATATCTACTATCTACGTGTGTTTTATGATATGTACTGCATACTATCAATACTATACAAGGTATATAGATGTGAAATGATGTGAATATATATATAATGGATGTACATTCTAGTCATGAATATATCTATACACCCAGTTGATCGTGATTGGATATACCCCACATATTTCCAATTTCACGGTGGTTTGTGTGTGTGTCTGTGTTTGTACACAACCACAGGTAGGGCACCAAAAATCCCGTGATTTGTTGCAACCAAATTTTTCCTGCTTCCATGTCAGATCTATGTCTTGTCAACACCTGTGGTTCCAAAAAAACATCTTGATGAATTTCAAGGTCCACTTCGCCGAGGCACACTCAGCTCAACATAGTGGGGGTTCTTCTGCAAGAATCCATCGAGCCAGTCGAACGTCCTCAGTCACCAAAAAGTTATCGTTGCTTTTGTGTCCATTTATACAGTACATAGGTCATCATAGGTCTGTCTGAAAATACATTCCCCAAACAGAAAACCTATGGGTTTTATATGTTTTTTTATGGCTTTTCCCATTCAAACTTTGACTTTGACTACTTTTTTTTGTATCCCCGTGCAGATGGCGTTTTGATTTGGCGTTTTCGGCACATCGGGGGTGGGTCGGGGTTTGGGTGGGTTTGGAGTGGGCGTGTCAACGTTCATGGTAACTTGTAGACACTGAGAATGTTACGCAGCAGATAATGTTATGTTGTCCACATTCTGGACGTTGCGCTGTAGAGGATTTTCTTACGGTAAACATCTAAACTCAATTGAAGGTTTCCTGAAATGGTGGTAGCCCCAAAGCATCCATTAGTCGGATTATCCATGAAATAAAGCATCCAGCTGGGGTCCCCCCATGACATCCCATGGCAAAGCCCCAATTTTCGGAAGCCATGGACTTCTCTGCAGTCCAGGATCCCTTCATCTGGAATGCCCACCGGCACCAAGACCTCGAACTTGCCAGCCTCACAGCAGGATGGGCTTCTCAATTCCCAGGTTCTTGAAACTGTCGGGACCGTAGGACACTACGAGAAATCATGGAAATCACGATTTCTCGAAATCGGTGTAATCCCAGTAGTCAAACTGGGATCATTTTCTCCAAAAAGTCGTGAGCAAATGTCGCTATTTCAAAGCACTAACCCTTGGGGGATCTCCTCGCCACTGTGGCCAACTACACCAGGGGATTGGAGCAGCAATGGATGGGAAACAGAATGCCCACGGCTAGCCATCAGCTAAATGGTGAAAAAACCTATCCCAAACAAGCACTGGTGACTTCGGGCTTAGATTTTCCTCGAGGAATTGAGCTCCTACGTGGAATATACATGTGTATATAAGTTGTATATGTCGAAATCTATGATTGTATCTTTCTGGTTGGTGGTTTCAACCCCTCTGAAAAATATGAAAGTCAGTTGGGATTATTATTCTCAATATATGGAAAGTCATAAAGGCCATATTCCAAACCACCAACCAGCTTTAAAGCGCATCTACACACATTACCTGAAAGAGCCAACCAGTCTTCAGAAAAGGGCGATGGCCTGAAAAATGGTTCCTGGCTATGGGGCTGTCTGAAAATGGGGCTGCCCCATTTTTTTTTGGCCCTACCCTGCTACGACGACATGTCAAAAGCGGAAGCAAGGCGTAGGCATAGCCAAACGTGCCTGCTTTGTTAAAAGTATCTAGCATTGGCTGCATTGAATATACGTGCATCCTCTTGAACGGTCTCTTCATAGTTAAACTGCTGCAGTTTTTCTTCGTATATATATTTTTTGGTGTAATGCAACCAGTTTTGCCTTGGTCTACCGTGCCTCTTTTTTCCATATGGGACGCGGTTCACTGAATTTGGTTGAAAGGAGATTTGACGTAAAGGGTCTTGTTGAGTGGTTCTGGCAGTATGTCCCAATAATTTGGCTCGCCTTTCATTATAACAATGGCTGAATAAAAGGTTGTTTTCATGATCTCCATGAGTGGACATGAGATCGGATGCTCTTCGCAAAACATATCTGTTTGTGAACCGCCTGTCAATAAAAGTCGACGGGAGGTTGAGGATTTTCCTCAAGCCTCGGATCTGGAATGCGTCGATTTTGTTCAACATGGCTTTTGTAAGATGAACCGTTTCCAAACCATATAACAACTTGGCTCGGATCACTGCATCAAAAATTCTAAGTTTCCATTTTACGTTTGCATCCGACGCTTTCCAATAAGGCAGAAGTTTGAACCATGTTATTCTGACAGTTTGGAGTTTGTTCAAAATTTCATGTTTCACATTGATTTCCCTGTTAAGTTCATTTCCCAAATATGTTGCTTCATAATTTTTGGGGAGTGGCGTGGCATCGTCAAAGTGAATATTTCCGTCATTATTCATAGGGACGGCGATGCATTTATGTCTGTTCAACCTTAATCCGTATTGGCCTGAAAATGTTTCTGTTAATCTCAACAGCTCGTTTAATGCCCTGTTATCGGTGGAGAAGAGGATGGTGTCGTCAGCATAAAACACACTGTCGTAACTTAACCCAGGAACCCTGTTGTTTAATACTCTTCTGCTCACCGTGCTTTGTATGTCAAAGTCTATGCATGACATTACTATGACAAAAAGATAAGGGGACAGTGGACAACCCTGCCGGATTCCGGAGCCCTGCTTCTTGATAGTGGACGATCCGAAATTATCTTCTACAAAAAAAGTTGGGTTACGATAACAATTTTCTATTACCTTTCGATAATGTTCGCTAAATCCCATTCGATACAAGGCCTGGTAAAGTTTATCGTGCTGTATTTTGTCGAAGGCCTTTTCCCAGTCTAGTAGGGCTAAACTTAACTGGGTCCCCTTTACTTCTGCGTAGTCTTGCAATCTACGAATTATGTAAATAGCGTGAGATGTAGACCTTTTAGGACGAAAACCATATTGAGTGGCTGACAATTTATCTTCTATAGCATGTTGCATCCGTTGTCGAATCATTATCATGTAAATTTTATATACCGAACTAAGTAAAGAGATGGGTCTGTAGTTTGCCGCGTTGTCTGTTTCGCCTTTTTTGAAGATGGGTACCACCCTCGCTTGAAAAAGTTCTACATCAGCCGACTTTGTTACCCACCAAGTGTTGATCAAACTTAGAAGCCTTCTTCGGTTATCATCATTAAGCCATTTGAGTAGTTCCATTTGGATGTTGTCTGGACCAGGTTGTTTATTGTTTTTAGAAACTTTGAGGGCCCAGTTTAGCTCTTCTATTCGAAAAAGCGACTCATCGGCATTGTTTTGTCGAACAATGTATTCGTCGGATGGGGTTCCCATATTGCGAACATTATTCCAATGTGTGTTTTCAAGATATTGTGCTATTGTTTCAGCCCTTTGGTTAAGGGGAACATGGACCCCCCTTTCGTTTTTCATTTGTACGTACTGTGGGGTAAACTTGGTCCGTAGGCCTTTAACTGCTTTCCAAAGATTCTTTTTGTTTCTATCTTGGGGGTTGTCATTGAACTGTTCAATCAAATGGTTTTGTTTGTCCTTTTTGGCCATCTGATTGATTTCTCTATTCATTCTCCTCATTTCCATTGTAGTTGCTCCTGCGTGTTTGCATCGGTTCCTTTCTTCGATTTTGGCCCAGGTACTTCTAGAGATATATGGTTTGCGTTTTTCATGTGGTATGGTTTCTAAGTGTCTTTTTGCTGAGTCAAGGACCGCTTTTTGAAAGCAATTTAAGGTGCATGAGCTTTGCCCCATTAAACCCGCGACATGTTCGTTATATTTTTCCCATTGTTGTCGGCTCGGTTTGTGAAATTTAGGTACACTGTTCTTCTTTTTCGTATTTGCTTGCGTTAAAATTTCAGCTTTGCATTCAAGCACCAGGTGATCTGATTCAAAGACAATGTCCTGTCGACTCTGTACATCTGTACAAGCGTGCTTGTATGCATCAGCAACCAGCCAGTAATCAATTTGTGCGAACCTAACAGCATCGTAAGGGGGCCCAAATTCAACACCTGTATGTTTTTCTATATAAGTGATCAACTTACTGGGTGGTTTTGAAAACTGGCTGTTCAGTATCCTCAGTGACTGCATCTGGCAGAATCCGAGGAATAACGCTCTGCTTTCTTTAGTTCGTTCATTCATGGTGTTTAAGTATTCTAAACCTCTGCCTAGAATATAGGGTCCACAAACATCTTTTTCACATTCACGAACATGGTGAATTCGAGCATTAAAATCACCCCCTATAAACTGTCTTCCTTTAAACTGTTGCACATGTTCAGCTAATTTATCATAAAAGTATTCCTTGTCTTCCGTGGGATAAGCACTTTGGGGCGCGTAAGCGCATACAAGTCTTACATCTCCACCGTGTGCTGTAAAAGTCGCCGTCATGATTCGGCCATTTATGTGCTCTACTTCTTGTAAGGCGTTAATACACGTGTTTCGAACGACAATGCCAACTCCCGCATTCTCAAAGTCCGCTGCCAACCGGTAGTTGGGCAGCCGTTGTTCATTTTCCGGATAGCTAGATCGGTAATTTTTATCTTCTCGCTTCTTCTCTTCTCGCTCTTTCACCTTTGGATCAATGGATGTGCTGAAGAATGCAGTACATAAATCCCAGTACTCAACACAGTTTGAGTTTACATTTGTCTCGGTAAGTAAGCAAATATCAAAATTATTTCGTTTCATGATATTATCTATCATTTCCCGTTTTGTAAGTTTATTCAGCCCCCGAACGTTCAATGTAGCCATATGCAATTTGTGATTCGACTTGAAAGCAAAATTTTTGGATTCTTTTGGGTCCAATGGATGGTTGGGGCTTGTCCTTTTACAAATAGTGGCATAGAACGTTCGGAAGTGGTTTCTTATTTTCTCCCGATTACTGCGGAGCCAAAGGATGCACTTCTTCTTGATTTTTCTGTTAAAAGTTTTGCTTAGGAGTTTCTTCTTTTGGAGCGTGCTTTGACGCAGGAAACGCTTGGCTATCTTTGTGGCTCTTTCCCGAAGCTGAGTTCGTTTGAAAAATCTCCATGCTCTACGTTTTAAAGCCCTCTTCCTATGTATCCTAACGGAATTTCTCCTATGATAAAAGAATTCCTTTTGGATTGCCTCATTGTGTTTTCGGCTTCGGGTCAAGTTGGTCAACCCAATGGGCCGGGTCCCGGGGTGCCTTCTAGAAGGCCTGTGTGCCCTAGTCTTTGCCAGATTGCCTGAATTAGCGTCTTTCTTTCGTGCAGGGTGTGCTGAGGCCCGGGGGCCTTTACACAATTGTTGCCTAAATTGTTGCCTGTTCTTCTGTTTATGCGTTTGTTTTGTGTGTAGTCACTCTTCCATCTTCTGAAGCTCATGATCTTCATCAAGGCGTGCGGCTGCGAAGGTCACTGCGTAGGGGTAGCGGTAATAGTTTGCAAATCTTGGGTGGTCCTTTTGGGCCTCCTTCCAGCTATCATGCCAGTTGTCTTTGATAATCCCGATGAGGTCTTTCTGCGTGATTATTGTCACTGTTCCTCTGTCTCTGTCGTATATTGCCTTTGCGATCACCTTCTTGTCCTTGAGGTTGAAAATGTGTTTGTCCGTGGGGCGATGTGAGAGGAAATCAGCACCCGTGAAGGGTGACTCTGTGTGTGAGGTCAGGATGTGTAGCGCCGTGGTCAATGCTAAGTTGATTGTGAGGTCGGTCTTACTGATGTAGTTTGTTACTACTAGTCGATGCCATCCTCCTCTCCAATGTTGTACATAGTTGCCCGATGAGTCCCAATAATACAAAGGCCACCTTCCGGAGAATGTTGTGTACGAGTACTTCTCGAAGCATTGTTGGTCATCTTGATTGGCAAAGGTCAGGATGGACACCGGGGAAAGCACGTATTTTTTGCCTGAGGCATAGTAACCATGCTCCTGTGTGACTTGGTTCTTTATAGCGGACTTTTCTATCAACCAATCGGTCACTCGCAATCTGTCGTAGTATGTTGTCTCCTTGGGCCATGCTTTGATGATCATCTTGAGGCTGCTTTCCCGCGCTTCCTTGTCTAGGACAATCTCATGGGTGTAGTCTGCTATCACTCGCAAATCTTCAATCTCATCTTCGTGTCTTTGTGTGATTTGCGTAAGTTTTTCGATTTGGGTGTGTAGACCTTCATACCATTCTTGGAATTGAGCTTCAGGTGCACTGCTGGATGATTTCGCTTTGGCTAATTCCTCTTTCATTTGTAGGTTGAGCTCTTGCATCTTCTGGAAAAGGTCTTGCATCTCTGAGTCCACGGCTCTCTTGGATTCTTGTGCTGGTTTGTCCTCTCTGATTTCTTTTGTGGGTTTCTGTGGCGTGGCTGCTATTTCATATAGTGCTTTTGCGGATGTCTGCATTTTTGTACTCCATATTCGTCTTGGGTGCACTGTCTTTGTCGTGCCCTTTGCTTCTTCTGACGCGGCCTTCTCTTCCTTCTCGTCTCCTTCCTTGTCTTTTTTTTGGGGAGTGTGCGGAGTCATCTGGGTATCTTCTATGGTCTCTTCATCTTCTCCTGTTTTCCTTCTTTTCACATGCGACATAGGAGGGAACTTAAACTAAAGGGCTGCCCCATTTTCATGTCCTAAATCTAGTGATTTGTCTCATCAATCTTCCAAAAAGTGACCATTTAAGGAGGGTTTACTATGGTTTACTATGGTTTACTCATTTTCAGACACACCCTAATATGAAAATCCACGGCTTTTGCATGCTTCTGCTGTTGCCTTGATGATATAATGATATAGTATGACACAGGATACACAGGTCATAGAGTAGAGTTAGTAGAGGAGTGGTGATGTGGCCATGCGCCCCTTTCCTGCCAAGCAGCCAACGATGGATCTGGGGAGACCTCCACATCAGCTTTGGCAGCTGACTGCAGCATGCGGCACCTTCACAGACGAGATACATGGAGTGACACAGAGAATTTGGCGAATCTTAGATATCCCTCAAAATGATCTAACATGATCTGAAATGGGGATATGAATTGATAATATATATGTATATATATATATACATACATTGGCTATGTCAATGTTTGATGATGTCCTAGGTGACAGTGCCTTAAAAGTCCCCAATTCGGAAGGGCAATGGAACGCGGAGCACTGTGATGGAACGCGTGCTGGACTTTGTTGGGTAACCAACTGCAGTGGGATCAGACTTAGCCGCACACCGCTACGCTACTCAACTCCTACCCTGCCATTCCCCCTGTATTCACCTGCCATTCACTGTGTAATCCCATCCCTATGGAAATTCCCTACTTTTTTACATCGTTTTACCATGGCTTCGATAGTTTGGGGCTGCGTTTTGGATGGGATCCATCACCAAGGTGCTGAAAGGGCAACGCTTTCAAGGGACTTGGGCCTAGGCCACATGCTACCCCCTGCGACGTTGGTTATGTTGCTTGCATGCTTTCAACGACTATGTCATGTTTTTTTTGCAGTGATATACGTTTCATTACAGTGAATTTTGAATCGGCACTATGCCATGCTACATATGTGAACTTCCATCCAGCACTGACAGGTCTCCGTTTTCCACCTTACCAAGTCTTTCAGTACATGTTGAAACACCATCATATTCAAGAAGATCACCTCGTTAACTCATCCATCTCAGGTTGGCGTGTCTGCAGATCTTCAATATTTTGAAATATCAAACTTCATCAAAGCCGCTGGAATCATCATGCAGCATCCAACCACAGTCAGTTCCAAACCCAAAGGCAAACACGGACATCTTCATCTCAAAATCAGGATCCAAGATATCACCATGATCCTAATTACATGGGTTTTCCAGAGATAGGATACACCCCAAATCCATCAAGTTAAAAACCTCATGTTCCCCGATACAATGTCACCAGATAACATCAGGTTTAAGCCCATTTAAACCCCAAAAATGCTGTAAATGTCAACAATAAACAGTTTCTTTGTGGGTCAGAGCTTCGAATTCTAAAATGTTCACCTGACACCCGACATCCTCAAACCAGCAAAGGAACCCATGTTTAACTGCAAAGAGATGTGCCGGAAGGTCACCTCTGAAGACAACACAAGGATCCCAAGCTCTTCGACATGGAGGCTCTTTAACCACCCCAAAAAAATCCAAAAAACTATATCTTTGATATTCTTTGACATTATGATATTGGTATTAAACACAGCAACTTACGTTGTATATGATCGTATATGGATGTATATTGTTGGTATGTTGGGAAAAACATTGGGGATGAAACATCCGATTTTAGGTTTCCGTATAAGTCACTGGGGAGTTCCTGAGACACTGCCCATCAACATCCATAAACCAGGATTTGCAGACTTGTGAGAGTCCAATGATCCAAACGAAGAAGCCTTTCTGCTGAGTCTTGCTGACATCCCTGCCCCATGTGCGAGCTTATCAAACAAGGCAAGGACTTTTAAAACTCCAAATGTCGGAATTTGTGGCCACAAGTGATGTTTTCTCTCGCAACACCTGAACTCTGGCCAATGATTTAGGGACTTCCTTCTGAAAAAAAATATAAGACATAGTGACTACCTGCTATTAAATCTATTAACATGTGCTCCCAAAAAAAGAAATAATATACAGGGCCAGGGTGTTGGTCCCGCCATTGAGTCGCTGAAACTTATGTAGAACTGCGATTATGAACACTCCAATAGATAGAACATGAATGAACATGAAAAACACACACACACACATAAACATATAAAAACAGTTCTCAAGGATTGCTTATACTGTCATAGAATTTTCAGGTGTAAACCTTTTCTATCTATTTTTTGGCGGCCTTCTTTATTGTATGTAAGTCTGGTGAAACGGATCTCTGGAGCGGCGTTGGCTCTCGCTGGGGGTCTCGTAGATCCCAAGAAATCTCAACTGGTTGGTGGTTGAGCCTACCCCTCTGAAAAAAATTAGAGCTCGTCAAATGGGATTGTTGTTCCCAATACCCTCTGGTAATTTAACATAGCTATAGAAAATCACCATTTTATAGCTGGGAAAATCCACTATTTCTATGGCCATTTTCAATAGCTACGTTAAATTACCAGAGGGTATATGGAACCATATGGAAAAATAGAAGATTTAAATGTTCCAAAGCATCCACCAGAGATTCTTTCGCCATCTTTCGCCATCCAAGCGCCATCCAAGATCCATGAGATTCAGAATAGATCCGTCAGGTGGCGTGCGGGAAAAGCGCTTTTCCCTTCAAGTTCTCTGGAAGAGGTTGTGGGTCAGAAACTCGTATCCCATCCTTGGAACTGCGTTGGAACTGCGTTGGGCTTGTGAAACTGGGTCTGTGGTCGATCAATGGTCGATCAAAGTGCTTCACAATCAAGAAAGGGAGTCTCATCACTTGTACCACAAGACTGTGAGAAGAGAACAAGGTCGCCAAATCAGCAGCAAAGAACTGGACAAAATCAAAGGGGAAGAGGAAAAGAAGAACCTGCCATGACATCCAACAGTCCCCCACATCCAACTAGCTTCATACTGCCAAAGTCAGGACCATCGCTTGTGATCAGCCAAGGCTCCCGAAACATACTCATGGTGTTTGCCAAAGGACTGCTGGCATCCAGATTCAGTAAGATGCCAATCACATTCTCGCGAGAAATGGGATGGCTTTTCTTCAACCGTGTCTTCCCCGTCACGAAGAAACCATCCGCTTCGAAGTAGGCACTCTCCTTCCAGCGGAGCTCCAGAAATGCTTGGTATCCTCTAGCCATTAGAAATAAGTGAGCTATAATTCAGAGTAACCATCACACACAGAAATGGGAAAGTGACTCTTGTAAACCATATTAAACCATATTAAACCATATTCAACCACCAACCAAACATAAGTTGATCAAATTCTATGTCTAAACTCTCATCAGGTTCCAGTACCACCTGGCAATTGACCTTGCCGATCTGATGCACCCTTGCACCTGGGAATTACTATTGCATTTCCTTAAGCAAGAAATGGGAATATTGTGGAATATCTAAGCAGAGCTAACTATTGATTTTTGAATGGTGTACTTGAGTTTCTGAAACTCCCCATTACTGAATTCAAGGGAATAAGTTGTTCACATTGTTGAATCAGTTGAAATCCGTCATGCTGTCATGTGTGGTTCGAAATAAAGTCAGCAACACCAATTTCAGCAGGTATATAGTAACCAAAAAGATAGAAACGTGTGAAACCAGGATGGCACTTCGATGATGTTTTCTCCATCATTTCCAGGTTTCCAACTATTCGACATCTTTCTGGGGGTTGCTACAGCTGGATAGCAGATTTCTGCTGCTGGACTGTGTAAGGCTTCATTCCTGGGCGATTCTGTCCACATGTGTGAAAACCAGTTGAGGCCTAAATCTTTAAATGTAGACATGTCAAGTATAAAACTGCAATAGCAACAACTATTTTTTTCGCAAGTCTGATTTTTGGTTAATACAAATTTTCCATTTGCCAACGCTTTCGCGCAATAGCTGGGATATCCAGCCCAAAAATGCACTGCTGGTATTGCCTATACCAAAAGACACCCAGTATCAACAATTATTTTTGACAAGTCTGATTTTGGGGAACACTAATTTTCAACTAGCCAATACTTTCGGCTATAGCTAGGATATCCAGTTGCAAGAATGACCCTTTTCATCATTGAGCGCACAGCACGATATATCCAATTCCTTCTCAATTACAGCTGCAAGCCACTGCAAGCAGTTCCTTTAATCACTAAGAAAACCAATGCAATCCAAAAGTATTGCAATTGTAAACCTCATCACAGGGACATGAACTAGCAAGCCCAACTTATCTGGGATTCAGTTTCTTTTCCCATTGCAAGACCTGAGCCCGATCTCAAAAACACAGGGAAAGGCTTATTCTCGGCTTGCCAGTTGTGACATATCTGTACAATTCTGTACATATCTTATGACCCGAACATGCCTACATCCCCTAAATCTATCTATCTCTGGGATCTGGGATCGTTGTACATTGGTAAACCATCCAAAATCCAATTTGCCCCATGGCCATGGCCCTATGGCCATGTCCTCGCTGTCCGTCAACAGAAGTGGTGATGATGCTGTGGAAAACCTGGAGATCCGGAGCGCTTTCGCTGTTGGTCGCACCAGCGACGTTCATGAACATGAAAAACCAAACATAGGCATTTTATGGCATTTTGACAGGGGATATCTGGTACATTTCATGATGTTTCGTTCAAAACTGCAGCTTCCAAAATCAAGCTAGTCCATTTGTGACGGATGCTTATGGCCCCCCGAGTCATTCCTGGCTTTGAATTTAAGTAACTGACCCAGTAATCCAACCGTGGCAAATCTCCCATGTTTTTCGAGCATTCTATACCATTTACCATCCATTTACCATCTTGAAATGTCTTGACACCTGGATTTTATGGGGAATTTTCCAACGTTGGTTGTCGAGGCCAAGCAACCCCAGGCGCAGCACTTGTCGAGGCTGAGGACCTCGACCTTGCTTCCCAGGTCCCGAGGGAAGATCGGAGGTGGGACGATACCATGCCATTTTGGGATCCCAAAATGGGTATCATCCAGACCCACATGGAGGTTTCTGTCAATGGGGCTACCCCAATATCTGGATGGTTTATTTCATGGAACATCTGAAATTAAAATGGATGATGACTGGGGGTACCCCTATTCTAGGAAACCTCCACATGCCAGGTCCTATTCAAGCAAAGCCAACCAATCAAGTCCGAATTAAGGGTTCAACAGCTAAACTGCTCTGTTTGACGCTGATTTTAAAAATCAAAGCAGCGAAACGACCGTGGAAAATCAGCACCTACAATTTTTTCATGGCCCTGCCTTGTGCGGCTTCTGCGGGACTCAAACTTTCCAAGATCTTCAGCTCAAAGAAATATCCTAAGAACGGGAAGACATACACGACCCATTGGACCCATAGTAAAGGGGCGTATGTTTGTATAGATATGGCGTTCTTTTGAACAGATATTAGGAAGTGACAAACAGATGTTCTCTGATTTTTTGTGGATCTTTGACCCTTACCCTCTGGTAATCTAACATAATTTGACAGTTTGCTATTCAACATATGGCCCATAGAAATAGTTGATTTACCAAATTTAAACAGATTTACCACAAAACCATGTCAACCCATAGAAACAGTACCCATTAACATTGACCCATTCAACTCTTTAAAGGTGGTGATTTTCCATAGTTTCTTTGTATGTTTACCAGAGGCTACGGAGGGGCTTCGCGGCGATGCCTTAGGGTCTCCACGTTTTTTGACGCCCGTCCGCGTGGAAGATCCGCAGATGGCTGCGTTTAAATCGTGGGCGTGTTTCGATCGGAGGACTTCAACGAATATGGCATAACTGTATAACGGGTTGGTGGTTTCAACAGTTTCAACCCCTTGGAAAACATTAGTCAATTGGGATGTTTATTCCCAGATATTCCCAGTATATGGAAAAATAAAAGCCATGTTCCAAACCACCAACCAAATAATATATAAAGATATATAAAGGATAATAAAAAAATAAAAAGAATATTCTATTATAAACCCCATCCATTTTTGGGGATTTCCCCATTTATCTGGGTAACTAATAAATATAATTCACTAACCTGAAACGTTCGGCTATCTTGGGGATGATTCCCCGAATCCTAACCATGATCATAGTGAGGTCGCAGTGAGGTCGTTACAATTTACCCAGATATAACTGTATGATATCACTAGATATAATACAACTATAGCCATAATCCTTTTTTGCCTCTGTCTCTCCCCTGCATTTTGGGCTGTTACACTGTGTTGGTGACATCCCTGATATTTGTCCTTAGGCAACCGCTCTGTTGAACACGTTCCCACTCTTTGAAGCTTGTCTTCATTTGTCTTCATATTTCTGTATTGCATTCCCATCTCTCATTCTTGTTTGTTGAATCCCCACTTCTATGCGTTGCATAGACTTTCCCTACCATGAACCTCTGTGCACATCATGTCAGAATGCACCTGATAGTTCCTTGGAATGCCTACCATACCATCAAAGCATAAAGAATATCAAACGCATGGGCTTGTCTGAGCGTAGGGTCCAGGCACCCCAAAAATCTCATGGTTTACCGTCCGGTAATCAAACGTGGCTAGCTGGAAAATCCACCACTTCTGGATGTTTTTCCCAGCTATAAGACTCCATTTAATTCAGGAATTTTCCAGCCAGCCATGTTTGATTACCAGAGGGTATGATCGGTTTATGATGGGTCTGTCTGAAATTATGGTGCCTCGAAATTCATTGGTTTATCATCAATTTTCGCATTAAAATAGTCTTTTAGGGATATTTAGGGGGTATACCCAATATCATGTTGTTGGTTATAGAGTTGTAGACCCCATGATATTCCTGTTACCTCCCCTTATTGTACCCGTGTTCTTGTTGGTTCACTTCCCCATATTTTTGGTCAAATCCCAATTGCCTATCATATTGTCAGTCAAAAATATCTGCATAATATATAGATATATATAGATATAGTTATATCTAAGTTATATCAGTTATGTAGAGTTATGTATTCCATGATATCCCCATAAAATCCTTATTTATGCATCATTTCACCCTATTTTCAGGTAAACCCTGATCAGACTCTGCCCAGCAGCTGCCACTCTTCACGCCAACATTGGCACGAGCACCCGCCAGCAAATGTTGCCTGCTGTTAAACAATGGGAGATTTCAGATTTAGACCAACTCAAAATTAGGGGTTTAATATGGTTTAATATGGTTTAATATGGTTTAATATGGTTTAATATGGTTTAATATGGTTTAATAATCCTCCTTATGATTAGCCTGGAGGTGTTGGGACCGCATTTCATAGGTATAAACTGGCTGTCCCCAACTGCCAAGTTTACAATATGCTGACTCCAAGTCAAAAATGTACTGCTACAAAATGCAGCTTCCAAGTACATATAGTCGAGAATCTACGACTACATATGGATACATATGGCATCTACAAAATGATGTGTCCAGGAAAGCCTTGGGATTTACCTGTTCATGCCTCTACATACAGAATGACCTTCCTACAAAAAAGGTTCCCAAGTATGTGGGGCTCGTGTTTTCTCGACATGCCCTAAACATCTCTCCACTACAAAATGCTTTCCCCTACTTACCACTTTCACAATCTACGTGTTCATGCAAACCTCTACAAAATGATCCTGCAGAAACTCTTAAAAGCAGTAAAAGCTACCAGGTTACAAAATGCAGGTGTACAGCACCAAACCTGCATATAAAAGCCTAGGGTTTTTCCATTTTATATGGGACCCAGGTCCTCCCATTCTGTAGGGGAAACTGCAAGAAGGATGTTTAATATGGTTTAATATGGTTTAATAGGATTTTGCGGAGTTTCTAGAATCAGCAATGATAGGGATCTAAGATGGCTCCCAATTTTTGGCCTACCAAAGTAGGTACCCCCGGATGGCTGGTCAAATGTGACATCATGTGATGGGGCTGGAATGTGCAGGAAAACTCGACAAACCAAAGCCACGGTAACAATCAGGTGCCCTCCGGTCACCAAATCACCAAACCTGGGAAAACCGGTGTTTTTTTTCTGGGAACATCCTTGAAGTACCCTCTGGTAATTTAACATAGCTATTGAAAATGGCCATTTATAGTGAGTTTTCCCATGAAACATGGTGATTTTCCATAGCTATGTTAGTTTACCAGAGGGTAAATGGCCCAACTTCTTGACGAAGCAAGCGACATTCCTCCTTCCGTCAGCGCCATGAGAACTTTGTTGCTCATCCCCGAGAAGACATTCCTAGGTCTCAGCAGCCCCATGGATACAGATCCAGTTGGTTGCTGTAAGAGTTAGCCTCTGGTGATTTTAACATAACGGAACATGACCCATTTATAGATGATATGATTATTTCATAGTTGAATTACCTACTAAGGATGGTTATTTTCCATAGCTACATTGAATTACCAGAGGGTATACTTCGCTTACAACTGGAATAGCTGCCGAAGCCTACCACGATTGCCATCGCACAGGTGTCTTGCTAGGATGTTGACTCCCGAAAAACAATAAGCCGCTGTTAAAACCATCAGAACTGACACTAATTCCCAGGCAAAACCAGTACAAGGAACCCCCCAGAAATGACAATGGACCATGATTTTCCGAAATCAGAAATCGCACTTTGTTTGTGTTCCAAATCGATTCTGAGGATGTTTGATATATTTGACTCCATGAAATTTCCAAAGATTGGGACACGGAACATCCTGATCCAAGCCGATTCCATCAGCTCTTTGGATCTCATCCCATAGATCTTATGTACCCTCTAGTTATTTAACATAGCCATGGTATAGATGGCCCATCTATAGATGGTTTACCGTTCTTAATAGCATGGTGGATCTTTCCATGGCAAACTGTGAATGTCATAACCAGATGGTAAATCCTGGGTAATTTTAAACACTGGAATTGTCTGGATCCCAAGAACGAATTCCAAATGATTTCTGGACGCGAGAAAACGCCATGTGATTGGGCCAATATCATGATGTATTCACCATAATCATCCCATTTGCTGAATGGAATATCTTGCTACTGCAATTGACATTCATTGATGATCATTATCCTCTGGTAAACTAACATAACTACTGAAATAAAAAAGACTTTATATATAGGTAAATCAACTATAACTGGGCCATTTTCCATAGCAAACTCTGAAAAATTACCAGCGGCTTCCAGGGCTTCAACTTCCACCTGCGGGCCAGTCCTCCTGTCGAGGCTCAGGGTGGTATCCACACCATAGAAACAAACTTCGCTGTTCAGAGCTGGTCTCTTGTCCACTGCATCATCTACCTCCTGGAAGACGGTCAGCAAATCGATAGCTTTTTGACGAAACATGAAAAAATACTGCACTTAAATAATGTGTAATGTTGGATTCACAATATCCATGGATTATTGATGATATCCATGCTTAACTATCTCACATTATGTATACCATTGTATACCTCTAGACTTCAAAGTGATGCTTCGCGACGGCAGGGACCGAAACTTCGACCATTTCTTTTGCAAATGGTCCCAGTTTGTTCATCGTCACCTATGTTTCCGTCACCTAAGTCACACGATGTCACCTATGTATACACATTCATGTGGAATATATCCATCCAGTTTCCACATATATCACAAATGAATATGAATCAGATGAAAGTGACAACATTAAGATATTATAAGATATTAAGGATGCAAAGACACCCGCCTTCATCGTGGCTTACCAGCCCATTCTTCCTGCAGTTTTCATCGTTGAATCCCCAGGATCCCTGCGATCGACGCTGTCGACATCTGTCGACACTCCTTCTCTGCGTCGCTTTTGGCCTTCTTCGAGGCTTCCTCCTCAACTGCCGGGGGATCCTTGCGCTTCTTGTCCTGCGGGGGATCCATGGGGATCCTAGGATTTTTATTCAAGCCGCGTCTCGCCCCGTTTGACAAATGCACAACATGGGAGAAAAACACAGCCATATTTCTGCCATTTTAGGAGATATGGATTTGCCGCTTTGCCATGCTTTGCCTCTCGATTCCTCATTTTTGTGGTCATTTTTGGATATTTCATTGGATTTAATAAAACCAAGCACTGAATGGTCATATAATGAGATACGACTCGTAACAACATGTAACAACCACTATGCGGGCTGTGCAAGAATAGGGATGTGCAAATATCACTTGATCATCGCACATCTGGGTTTGACCAGAAATGAGGTACAGTATACCATCGTATAGCTGAATTTGTCAACACTTCAATGGGGATACTGATGACATCTGATGATAAACCTGGCTGGAGTTTGGAGTACACAATTCGGGACAAACCAAGAAAATGGAATCTGACATACTCATATCAACCTTCCATCAATGAACCCTGACTGAGTTGAACCCTGCGGCCTCTTCTGTGGTTGCGCTCATGGCGCCGCTGGTTCATCAACCACTGATTTTCTGTTCGTTTTATCTGGCTTGGCTGGTCGTGTCACTCAATCTTTTGCAACATTTGATGCAAAACACACATGTTCCAAAAAACGCATGTTTACTACATGTTACTAGTATGTTGACTCATTATTTTGACTATGTTTACTATAGGCTTCAGGTGATGGTTCTTATAAGGCCGCAAGAAATCAGCAAAAAGGTCGACAGGAGGAATCCATGATCCTCCGACAGCATCCCGATGCGGCTCGCGGAAATACACCTGTGACATGTGAACCTTGCACGTTGCCAACTTTGGATCGCCCATCATCTTGATTCATGAAGTTGGTTGGTGGTGTACCTACCCCTCTGAAAAATATGAGTTCGTCAGTTGGGATGATGACATTCCCAGTATATGGAAAAATAAAAGCCATGTTCCAAACCACCAACCAGTCTTGATTCATGAAGTCAATATCTGTCCAAAAATCACAACATATCACAACAGATTATGAGCATTTACGAGCCACATGAAAATTGGGATGGAGCAAGGAAACACACACACACGACCCATCACTCTCAAAATGCTGGAGAAAACGGCGTTGGAGGTCCTTGAAACATGCGGAAGCAATGGCATGATCCTAGGAACTTTGTAAAGATTGAATAAATGGCCCCATGACCACTTGGGAGCATTTTTTTGTTATATCCAAATTTTCTCCACACATAATCTTTGTGACAATCTGTCATGTGTGTTTTGGTGTACATTTTAGACACACCATGACACACCCATATGATAGTACTACCAGATACCAACCATCTGGGAAGATTAGTTCGGCCATATGGGGATGATTTCCGTTAACCATCATCAAACTAGTGAGGTCAAGTGGGACGCTTCGATGTGGAAAACCCACTATGTGTACATCATTTTCCGACCAGAAACCATGGGTTTTCCATATCTGAGCCCCCATGCGGAACTGGCACCGAGAAGCCTCAGGATCGCCTCAGTTCTTGGTTTTTTCATCCCCTGAATAAGGGGAATCCTGTCCTAAAGTTTGGTAAATCGAATCCAAATGAGTTTGAAGATGTTTGAAGGTAATGTTGAGGGTATTGGATCTATCTTGACCAGTGACATGGATTATATTTTTTACAACAACTATATTAATTATTTTACAGACATTTATGAAATTCAAATGATATTTGCAGATATGGATTGGGTCTCCTGTGCTATTCAAATGAAAGGATCCAACACATTCCACCAGGATGAATCGGAAGGCGCAAGGGGGGATTACTAACCGTACCAACAAGAACATGAGGAAACATATAAACATATATATATATACATACCATACATTACATTACATTACATTACATTACATTACATACATTACATACATTACATACATTACATACATTACATACATTACATACATTACATACCATTACATTACATTACATTACATTACATACATTACATACATTACATACATTACATACTTTACATACATTACATACATTACATACATTACATACCATACCATTACATTACATTACATTACATACATTACATACATTACATACATTACATACTTTACATACATTACATACATTACATACCATTACATTACATTACATGACATTACATTACATTCAATTACATTACATTAATTACATAACATTAATTACATACATACATACATGCATACAATAATTACATAACATTGATTACATACATACATACATACATACATACATACATACATACATACATACATACATACATACGTACATACATTAATACATACATGAATACATACATACATACGTACGTACGTACGTACATACATACATACATACATACATACATACATACATACATACATACATACATACATACATACATTACATACATTACATGCATTACATACACTACATACATTACATACATTACATACATACCATACATACACACACACATACATACATACATATATATATACATATGTATATACATATATATATACATATGTATATATATATACACACATATATGTATATATATATATACATATGTATTTACACATATATATATACATATGTATTTACACATATATATATATACACATATTAATACACATATATATACATATTACTACTATATATATATTACTAATACATATATATATATATTTAAATTGATATATATATATATGCATATATTACTAATACACACACATATATATAAATACATATATGTATATAGATATATATACATATACATATATATATATAATAAAACTATGTTGATTTATATATATATATATATATGCACAATGCACGTATATAAATGTACAGTATATGATATGGCGACCAAACAAACATGTTTTGACAATGGCAGGGCGCCTTACCCTCCTGAAGACTCACCTGGACCACAGTACCTGGAACATGATATTCATACTGGAAATGGCAATCTTTAGGTTCCATGTGAGTTTTCGGAATTCTATGCTTTGAAAAGAACTCGTGTTTGAACCTCCTCATCCAAATGTGGTATCATGTTTGAAGCACAAATCAGGTCATTTTTGTGCATTTAGAGGTAGATTGTTCCGCGGAGGAATTTTGCGCGGTTGGCTGTGAAATTCCCCTTCAAGAAAGCGCTTCAGCCGCATAGGAGTTCGGTAGAAACTGCACTACAAGCTTCTCCCCAGCTCATGTGTATGCACCTCATCAAAACCAATAGATTATCAGTTGTGCAGACACGGCGTTGTTTTGCCGCAAAATCACTCGAAAAATGTATCAGGCAAGATGGTGATGGTTCTGCAGCAAGACTCCGTTGACCTATCTATTCTGACTGTCAAGTGGGGATGGGTCAACATTAAAGACTCCTGGGACCACAGATCTTAGTCTATTAGTGTTATGTTATGTTATATTATCATCATTAATATCTATCTTTAGTATTTTTCAGTAATTACCCATCCATTTTTTTGTACCCAATTTTGACCCAAAGACCCAAAACCGTTAAGTAACCCAAATTTCCAGATCCCTAGCCGCCCTTTGTGGTCCTCATGCCTTCTAATTTACCCTCCCCGAGTCAAAGAAAAACAACGAACTCATGATTTCCACCCCATTTCCCCTAATAAAAACAGCAAATATTCTCTTAAAAGAGCCTGGAATTCAAACATGCCATCTTTACCAAGTTGCTCCCAGAACTTCGCAGACCCTCGGCCTCGGTTTTGTGGCACCAGGTCGAGCTGGAGCGTGGAATAATGGCTTCCCAGAAAATCGGAAGCGTAGAGGCTTAGATATGCATATATGAATATTTGGTTGGTGGTGCAATAACCATCTTGAAAAATATGAGTTCGTCAATGTGAAGGATTATCCCATATATTATGGAAAATAAAAAATGTTTCAAACCACCAACCAGAATATATATGATGGTTAGTATGATGATATGGCTAGTATATGCTAATATACAGTACGACAACAATTACTAATTTTTATTTACACCCCGCTGTTGGTTCTAAAGGTCTTCATCTTGATCCCCATCTGAAAATTGATTTGTGGAAAATTGTTGTACTAGCTTGGGTTAGCATATGAAATCCAAATGGATATAACCGACGACAGTGAGAAACTGTGTGATTTCGCAGCGGTATCAGCACGCATTTTTGCATATTTCATCGCCAAACCCGCAATTGCATGGACCAATGGTCATATTATTCTGGTTGCAGCGGCTAGTTACCTACGTATTCCCGGTCCATGGATTCTCAGTGAAACCATATGCCCCATCGTTCGAGGTTTCACTCCCGTTTCTGTCGGTTAAACCCTCAAGGTTTGGCTCAGTTCATGTTCATCTTTATCTGGTTGGTGGTTTTAACCTCTCTCAAAAATATGAGAGTCAGTTGGGATTATTATTCCCAATATATGGAAAAATAAAAGCCATGTTCCAAACCACCAACCAGAAATCCTCCGAAACTTCGCTCAGTTTAACCAGGACTCCGGCCATGATTCGTTCCAGTTGCTGTTGTAGGGCAGCCTGCGCCGGATGCGGATGCAATCCTCTGAGACATATGCTGCAAACGTATGATATGAATCATTTTATGTAAAAAAAATACATATATACTAAAAATTCACCAATGTATGTATAGTATTGTATAGTATCATATGCAATGAGATTGCATATAGAAATACAACCAAAAACATATCACTACGTATTATGTATATGTATATGTATATAGGGGGACATGCACTTGGAAGATCGTTTGGAAAACGCTCTCCAACATTTTACCTGGGTAGGATGTTCTAAGTGTTACATTTAGAACATCAACCCCGAAATCAACACGTAGAACATCAAATTTGTACATAACGATGTTCTAAGTGTATGTCCTCTATACTAAAACTAATTGAAAGAGGCCTGCTGAGTAAAGAATGTTTCAAACCAGTTATTTAAGCCTTGATGTGCGTAGAGCAGAATGCATGGGACAAACCATATTGTCAGTGAGATACCCTACCTTTCCACCGCATGGGTTGCACCAAAATATGGTTTTTAATTGTGGGGGGAAACCAAAGAAACAACGAAAAATACAAAGGAACCAGTCAAAATCAGTTCTTCTTAGATTATCTCAGTTTTCCTTTGGTTTCCTTTGGTTTGGGGCTGGGTGGATTCGATGGTTTTCCTTTGTTTTCTTTTGGTTTCCAAGGGGGAAACAAAGGAAAACCAAATCCAAGGAAAAACTACAAACCAATCAAGGAAAATCTAAGCAGGCTCTGAACCCATAGAATGCATCAATCATGCTGCTGCTGAAAGGTTTGCAAGAAAATACTGGCAATTTTTTTCTATCTCTGGAACGCTGTACCTTTTGGTGTTTTTGGGGGTTCTGATGTTCTAAGTGTTGGTTTCAGCAGCTAATTCCGTAGGAGATATAATTTAGTACCATTTGGCCTTTTGCAAATATTGGCGATTTTTTATATCTGTCTCCTTCTTGTCCTGAATGCGCTGCTCCGCAGGGGTCTCCTTGGCCTTGTCGTCATAGACCTTCTTCGTGCTTGAAGTGGATGTCCCGGACGGAGTGAAGGCATCAAACACCTTCCCGCGCAAACGTTCGACTGGTCGTGGAACTGGAGCTGCAGCAGCCTGTGATGGCCTGGCTTTGGAAGACACGTTGGCACTGCGGGGATCTTCAGTCACACCATACCATGCCTCCCAACTCTCCCATGCCGCATCGTCCCACTCATCAACTGGCCAATCGTCACTATCATATTCCCAGTACTCATTCTCCTCTTCATGGTCCTGGGCGGTCTGTCACATTAGAACGCCTTGGACACTCATCCTTCCAGTGCCCAGTGGCGCCGCATTTGGCACACGTAGTCTTGGATTTGAGCTCCTCCAGCGACAAGCCTCTCGCCTTGCCCTCAGGAAGCAAGGTGTCGTTGGCGGCCTCCCGGATGGTCTGCTCGGCAATGGCCTCCACGACGTCATTCTCATAGAGCCAGTCGCCCATGCTACATGTGGATCTTGAAGATCTGGAACGATCCAATCTGTCAGCCATTGGTCTGAAGATTGATGTGCTTCGTGTGCACCGTGTCCTCGATGACCTCCTTTGCCAGCTGAACTGCCGGCACTTGGCACCACGACGTTGGGGTAGAGCACCTCAATGGCCGAAACATAAACATAATTTAGTACCATGTGGCCTTTGCCTCCCACATGGTCTGCAAATATTGGCGATCTGTTTATCTCTGGAACACTGTACCTTTTGGTGCTTTTTGGGGGTTCTGATGTTCTAAGTGTTGGATTCAGCAGCTACAGTAATTCCGTAGGAGATATAATTTAGTACCATTTGGCCTTTCCCTCCCACATGATTTGCAAATATTGGCGATCTTATCTCTGGAACACTATACCTTTTGGTGCTTTTTTGGGGGTTCTGATGTTCTAAGTATTGGATTCAGCAGCTAATTCCTTGGAAACATAAACAGACAAAAATTAGTAATTTGGCCCTTCCCTCCCATATGATCTGCAAATATTGGCGATCTTTTTATCTCTGGAGCACTGTACCTTATGGGTGCTTTTTGGGGGTTCTGATGTTCTGATTCAGCGCATGAGGGATGTATGTGCATGTGGCTTTTTGAATTTCCATCTTTTTTATGTGTTGATGTTCTAAGTGAGGTGTTTTTGGATGTTCTAAGTGTTACACTTAGAACATCCCGCTCTTGATTTTTGGGATGAACTAAGTGTGTGTGCCGGCGCATTTGGAAAACGTTTGATGTTCTAATGTCCCCCTATATATATGTATATGTATATGTATATTTATATGCAATGTATTGTAAAAAAGAATTACTGTAACACATAATACACACCAAATCAATCCAAATCATACCAATACACACGTACTGTCTATGTACGTAAGCTTTTTCGTAGATACTTTCGCAAATACATCATTCGTCATATATACAACTCACAAGTTTTGCTACGTCCGCATCTTGTCAGGCAAGTGGATGCAGGAGTACGGCGGATCAACCAGCGAGAAAATGAAACATCGTCTTAGGCAAATCCAGAAAATCCAGGTATATACATATAAAATCATAATATGTACATATATATATGTATATGTATATATGTATATATGTATATATGTATAAATGTATATATGTATAAATTTATATATGTATATATGTATATATGTATATATGTATATATGTATATATGTATACATGTATATATGCATACATGCACATATGCATATAATATGCATATATGTATCAGTTAGTTATACTATGTTACAACTACTTCCATTTCATGCTTCTGTTTCCTCCGCGTCCGGGCACTCCGACCAGCCGCTCTTCACTGATTTCACTGCGGGATTGAGCGTCGGAGTGCTCCTAGGGCAGATGGTAGATCTGTCTCGTGGGCTCATACTGTTGACATGAGTTTGGAGAAAGATTTACGACCCAATTGAAGCCCCCAAACTGTGGTCATTTACCATTTATCCTTTCATTTTGTGTTTCCCACCGGCCTGGTGGGGGTCCTGAGATCTTATCAGAGTTGCCTTCTCCTTCCTTCCTTCCTTCCTTCCTTGCTTGCTTGCTTGCTTCCTTCCTTGCTTGCTTGCTTGCTTCCTTCCTTGCTTGCTTGCTTGCTTCCTTCCTTCCTTCCTTCCTTCCTTCCTTCCTTCTCCTTCGGAAGCCTCGGATTGCAACTGCGAGCGCCAGATCTCAGTGGGCACTTCCGGACCTCAACCGTAAGGTCCAGTCCGAATAGATGCCAGATAGACTGCCAGAGAAAATGTCAGAATAGATGCCAGAAAGGATGCCAGAATAGAATGTCAGATAGAATGCCAGAATAGATTCCAGAAAGAATGTCAGAATAAATGCCAGATAGAATATCAGAAAGAATGCCAGATAGAATGCCGGAGAAAATGTCAGAATAGATGCCAGAAAGGATGCCAGATAGGATGTCAAAATAGATGCCAGATAGAATGCCAGAATAGAATGTCAGAACAGATATGCCAGATATACTTCCAGATGAGATGTCAGAAACTATGACAACATAATTTGTCACGGTGGGGACCACTCGAAGTAAAGTTTTTTTTTGGGGGGGAGGTACCCAATCTTGAGCCTTCGCTATGCTGTAAAGCAGTCTACCCTGGAAGACGCCTATTGGATCCTGTTGGTGCCCCCTGATTCTTTGCCGGCTTGGATATGGCCACGGGAAGTGGGAGCTGAAATCTCCAGATCCATGCACCGTCAGGAATCTCGAACCAAACTTTGGATACCCTCTGGTTATTTGACATAGCCATGGTATAGATGGCCCATAGAAATAGATGGTTTACCTATTGGAAATTGTGATTTTCCATGGCTATGTTAGATAACCAGATGGTATTCGCCAAGGTGATCCCTTGTGGCTTCAGTTCTGGCCTCCCGACTTCGACACCTGAGCTGTTGAGGATCTATCTTTGGAGTTCCACCTACCTGGGGGCACCGCACCAAGAAAACAGAAGTATATCTCCAGATGATGAAGGAAGCATCACAATTTTCATCCATAGGGCGATGACCCGCTTGATGATTGCTTTAGATGAAAAATGGATGAGCATGGGGATTTCCACTTCCGAGTGGATCGAATCAGTAGATTCAAGTAGGGTCTGAAAAAGGCTCCCAAATCTCGTGCTTCATCATCATTTTCCCATCATTTTGCCATAATTTTCCCATCATTTGTCCATTTTATCATCATGAATCATTCAAAACTGCCATAAACTTGGGGTAAACTCTCCATGGACAAATCCTCCCCTCCGTGCCGCTTTTAAGAATGGGACAGGACAGCATGGAGCCTGGAGTCGGGATGAGACAGGTGAAAATTTCCACGACTGGCTGGGATAGTAAAAATAGGGGACTTTATACTTATGATATTCATAGGTAAAAAAATAGGAAAACCTCATAGAATTTTGTTTTATTTGATTATGAAAATCATAGTTTAAGGGACTTATATCATATTATATTCCCATATATTCCCTAGTTTACTAGGGACTATGACATATTATGATTACCCATAGGGTTTCCACCGTTTTCAACCAACGAGGAGCTTTCATGAGACCCTCAAGCCACGATGGAAACCCGAGATATGTGGGAACCCCACCTGTGCATCCTGTCGTACACAGAGCTTTCCAACCTCGGCGACTGGACTCAGGTGGAAACATCAATGAATCGATGACAAAAGGGATGCTGCATGCATGTCAGGCTGATTCAACCAACATCTTGCCAATTCAGACTTCTTTTGGGATGTCGAACAAGTTGCCACCCGGCTTGTAAATGGGATCAGTTGGCATACTCCGGATCATACAAGGCAAAAAAGTTGCAATGTCAAGGTACATCTCCTCATTGACATGGGATGCTAAGTACTTCTGCCCAAGCAGCCTTTGTGGGTATCAATGATCCCGGATCAAGTGTGTTACTGAATGGAGTGGACTGACCCCGATATCCATCTATGTATGTATCTTACATTATCTATTTCATATGAATATAACTACATATGTATATATATATATATATGTATATACACTGTAAATATAGTATTGATATGTAGCCATACATATTATACATGTACGGATAATGTATATATAGCATACTCGGCCAGAGTAGGGGCACCCTGGCTGGTCCAAGCGTGAAGACAGGCGAGACTCCTGGCACCCACATGGGCAATGTACGTACATGAAAATACACAGATGGATGAATGGACGGATGGACATCACATGACACCTCTCTGCATTAAATGCAGTGTTAAGGTGCAAGCCAAGCTAAAATGAAATGCCGGGCTCATTATACTATCCCATTTGTTGTTTTTAGGAGCATCATTCACAGGTGGGCTATTAATATACGTATTCCGTTCCATCCACGGAATACTGCAGGCTCCAGCCGGTTGAAATCATGGTAGAAGGCACTGCAAAAAACGGTGACTTCTACGTTTTTTTTGGGTCCCATTGGGGGTGTTCGATTTTAGTGGTTTCATGATTTTGCGTCTCCATTTTGATTCTCACCAATAGGCCTGTATGTTTGAATATTTCGTTCTATATCATAGTCTTATCGGCTATGCATATCATCGTAAGGTGATTGAGTTTTATTGGGGCGAACTTGGTCTTATTATGTTTAACGGCTTAACATGGCTTAGCGGCTTAGCCTTAGCCATATATTATGATATATTATGAACACTTGTTTTTCCCGAGAGCGTGTGAGCGAAGGGTTCTTCTAATAGCGGGAGTCTGTCAAACATTTTCACATCTTCACATCTTCTCATCCTCACATCCTCACATCTTCACATCCTCACATCTTCACATCTTCTCATCTTGACATCTGCTCATCTTGACATCTTCTCATCTTCACATCCTCACATCTTCACATCTTCTCATCTTCACACCCTCACATCTTCACATCTTCTCATCTTCACATCCTCACATCTTCGCATCTTCTCATCCTCACATCCTCACATCTTCACATCTTCTCATCCTCACATCCTCACATCTTCACATCCTCACATCTTCACATCTTCTCATCTTTGCATCTGCTCATTTTCACATCTTCTCATCTTCACATCTGCTCATCTTCACATCCTCACATCTTCACATCTTCACATCTTCTCATCCTCACATCTTCATATCTTCACATTCTCTCTTGCCCTCTTGCTCTCTTGCCCTCTCGCTCTCTTGCCCTCTTGCTCTCTTGCCCTCTTGCTCTCTCCTTCTTTTCTATTTCTCTCTTGAAGGCGCGGGGCAGTGCCAACGAGACGGCACGAAACGCAACCCTTTCGCACGAAACGAGGTTCGATCGCCAAAAACTGAGGTAAAATTGCGATTTTGAAATGTCCGCAACAACCCTTTCGCACGAAATGAGGTTCGATCGCCAAAAACTGAGGTAAAATTGCGATTTGCAGTGGGTCCGGCGTACCCTGTGTGTAAATGTGTCTGTGTGTAAAAGTTTCTGTGTGTAAACGTGTCTGTGTGTAAAAGCGTCTGTATGTAAAAGTGTTTGCGTGTAAAAGCGTCTGTGTGTAAAGGCGTCTGTGTGTAAAAGCCTATGTGTGTAAAAGCCTATGTGTGTAAAAGCGTCTGTGTGTAAAAGTGTCTGCGTGTAAAAGCGTCTGTGTGTAAAGGCGTCTGTGTGTAAAAGCCTATGTGTGTAAAAGCGTCTGTGTGTTAAAGTGTCTGCGTGTAAAAGCGTCTGTGTGTAAAGGCGTCTGTGTGTAAAAGCCTATGTGTGTAAAAGCGTCTGTGTGTTAAAGTGTCTGTGTGTAAAAGTGTCTGTGTGTAAAAGGTTCCGTGTGTAAAAGTCTCTGTGTGTAAAAACTTCTGTGGCGTGAAGAACTATACGAAGGATAGGATGCAAACTATTGTCTTGTACTTGTAGTATATTGTCTTGATACTACTCTTCTCGTCTGCCTATAATACATCTTTAATATATTGTCTTGTAATATAGTGTCTCAATGCTAACAACAGAAGACCCTGCTCCTCTACGCTCTCGGGCCATCCGTCGTCTAGTTCTGTTCTCTCGGGATACACAGATGGAGGTTTCCTAAAGTGGGGATGCCCCCAAATCATCCATTTCTTTAATAGGATTTTCCATGAAATAAACCATCCAGCTGAGGTACCACCATTTTAGGACCCCCCACATGGCTTTATTGGTTTATTTCATGGTGAATCTAAGACACCTGACAAAACATCTAATTTTTCGCTGGTTAGGACAAATTTTACCATTGAAATCGCAGCAGATTCAAGTACTAGTTCGTATCCAGCCAGTTGGTTCGCTCAGATTCATTGGTTATTCATTGGTTATTTATGGGTAATATCATGTTCTATCCTTTATTCTTATCTATTGGTGGTATCCCAAGGTTTCAACGTGACGTTTCCACGGCTAAATGTTTCTCCTCGCGTCGACGGTCTTGGAGCTGCACTCGTAGCTGCTGACACTCCTGGTCGAACTGAGAAAATGGGGATGTGAACAACGGTGATTCATGAAGATTTCTAGGGGTTTGCCCCTGGGCAAACAAACACTGTAGATTTATGGGGGTTTCTATAAATCGAAATTTCATGGTGTTGTAGATTTATAGCAATCCCAAACAAATAGGAAAATTGATGTCTTTCCACGTAGTTTTTTTTGGTGATGTTTCCTCCAGAATTTCCAGGGTTCCAGCTTTTCTATCTTTCTGGGGGTTGCTATATGGTGATTAATTGGGATCTAACTCTAACCAAGAAAGAATGCTGATTCAATGATGATTCAACCAATCACATGGTGATCTGATATGGATTGACCCAGATGTAATGGGGTGACGAAAACGACAGGGAACCAGCACGTATTCGGCCATCCAGCGAACACAAGCATGATCAAATCAGCACCTAACACTATCATCTATTGACAACACATCATCATCATCATCATCATCACCACTTATTAAAGTATGTTTTTGTGTTTCAATGTAAGGTAAGGAATATGATAAGGTAATGTAATGTAATAGTGTATATACATGTGTGATCTTAAACATGCGTGCGTATGTCTTACATCAACAATATAATCTATGTGTGTGTACTGTATATACATATATATTTATGATCCAGCCTTTACTGATCCCCCCTGCTCCGCCAAAAGTGAGGTCATGGATCAACGTAACATGGGTTGAAGACACCAGCAAGCAATATCTACAGAATTATGACAACATATCTTGACCCATCATGGCACTTTAGTCATCGAAAAATCACAGATCCGGCTAGAAGGTCCACAGCTTTTTTCCAGTGGCGGTTTTCAGAATGATTGAACTGCACGTTCGCTATGCGGTGCGTGCATCACAGGCATCACAGCAGCAAAACTTCAGCCACTGTACAGAGTTTTGATTGCACAGGATCTGAACGACGTCTTAGTTTATTCCGAGGTAACTCACATGTATCTATCATATCTATCATATCTATCTATATCTGTCTGTTGTCTGTCTGCATGTCTATCCATCCATCCACCAACCCACCGATCCTCCTATCTACCTACCCATCCATCCATCCATCCATCCATCTATAACTAAATAACTACATAACTATAATGACTACATAACTACATAAGTATATAACTATATAACCATAAACCTATACAACTATTTAACTATATAGACAAATACACATACACATACACATACACATGGACATGGACATAGGCATTTATATAAATAAATGTATGCCGTAGCCATGCATATATATATAATAATATATGACTATTTATATTTAGACGTATATGTACATTGTTTTTCCAGTTTCACCCCAACTGCTAACAGTTAACACCCCTTTGTTGGCCCAACAATTTCTTGCCCAGCTACGATCCTCCAGCGTTTTGTCTGCTGCTGCGCCAGCCGTTATGCACACAGCGGTCAGAATTTTCAGCCATCGAAGAGCCCAGGTGCATCCATCGTGTTGTGAAATCCTATCTGCTACAGACCAGTCGCTACTGCACAAACTGCGCTTGAAAATCTTGAAATGGAGAACAAGTGGGAGAAGATTGCGCAGCCCTGAGTCGATTTGACCTGATCAATTCTGCAACTTTTTTTTGTGGCTTCCAACCTATGAACTGAACGGATTCCGTGACCACAAGTCGTCACCCTCGTCTATGGTGAACAACCACGATGTGGACGGGGCTCAAATTCGCGGCGAATCTCGCGGAGGGGCCACAGGCGAAACGTCAGAAACATCAGCCGGTCAGGTCATTCAAATTGTGTCTGAAAATTCAAAAAAAGACGAAATGTATGGGATTTAATGGGATTCAATGGGATTTAATAGGATTTAATGGGATTGAATGGGATATAAAATGGTTTACCCTCTGGTAAACTAACAGTTTGCTATTGAAAATGGCCATAGAAATAGTGGATTTACCCATTGAAAATGGTGATTTTCCATCGTTTTGTATGTTTACCAGAGGGTATACCTGCTGAATCATCATTTTCCCGAAGAAAAGGACATTTTTTAGACCCAAAGGGGCCATTGAGAGGCCACTTATGGAGTCTCAACGTCATGTTTTTTTTTGTGTAGGCTTATAGTGGAATACACACTATACAACACTAGAGATTCTTATCCATCCCCAGATTATATACGTAGTGTTGTGGATATATATATATATATATTTATACACAGTGGATCACATATATATATATAGTTATATATAATTATATACATAGTGGATTTATGTGGATTATATATCATGTTTACAATGGCTACTACGAGTACCATCTCTACTCCCCTGCCACGTGGATTGATTCACTGCTTGATCTCCAACATGGGCCGGTGACTGTGGTGGAATCATAGAAACATCATCAATGTCTCTGGGTATGGCTGTTCGCGGGTTCCCTATTAAGCATGTGGGCATGTAATGTATATAATGGTACCATGTCATATATATATATATGATGTATATATATGTACATATACATACTTGTATATATATATATATATGCGACACACTGTTCAATTGATATATACATATAAAGATTATATAATAGGGTAAAATTGGCACATCTATTCCGGGCTTTCTCTGGTATAATCTTGCAGAGCTTTTGGGAAAAAACGATACGGAACCCAAAAAAATGTCATCGCAAGCCCAGGAAGGCTGCAAATCCAGCATGTTGCCTTCTTGTACTTTCCTGTACAGCCATGGAAGCCGTGGGCAATCATAATTTTTAAGGGGCAAAACCATCTATCAAACTGGATCAACATCTATGAAGCATAATTTATATACCCTCTCGTAAACTAACAGTTTGCGAACTGGAAAATCACCATCTTCAATAGGTAAATCAACTATAAATGGGTCATACTATAGGTAAATCACTATAAATAGGTAAATCACCATCTTCAATAGGTAAAATCACCACTATAACATACTATAAATGGGTCATTTTCCACTTCGCAAAGTGTTAAATCACCGGTCCCATGGGGTGGCAACTGTCGCCCTGTCGCCGGCGCCCGTGGAGCTCATCCACTGAAGCTCACCAGCCATTCGGCCAGCTGCTCAACAGTAGGCACATTGTAGGTCACAAAGGGATGCGCCTTAGGAGGCCCAACGAAAACATGGGGATTTCGCTAGGAGAAAACGGGTTGGGGAGTATAACTTCCGAACCAATCATCAACCAACCATCATGTATCAGTTAGATCCACTTATATCCCTATATATCCCTATAAATCCCTATATATTTGATGATATATCCCTATCTTGTTGGTGGTTGACCTACCCCTCTGAAAAATATGACTTCGTCAGTTGGGATGGTTATTGCCAATGTATGGAAAAATAAAAGCCATGTTCCAAACCACCAACCAGAAAAATAGGGGTTCACCGATTTTAATATGATTGAAATAGCAAAAAACTTGAATTAGTATCCTAAACCCAGCTAACTGTTTGACTCTGAAAATTGCATCACATGGCCAATTTGTTGAGGAAAGTAGCCTTCAAACACCCGATTTGGCAGGGAGGGACGGTAATCATCAAAATGAATATAATTGACGGATCAAGTCCTTCAAGGAGGTGCTTGAACCTTTTTTTTCACTCCAAAAACGGGAAGCATTTTTGCCCCCTGCAATAGGTGCTGAATAGCCCAACCCTCCGTATTCAAATGGGGCTAGCTGGAAAATGCCCCCTTTATCGATGATTTTCCCAGCTATAAACCTCCATTTATAGATGATTTTCCAGCTTGCCATGTTTGAGCAAACCGAAAGGTAATGGTTGTAACCTTTCCAAGTGAAGCAAACTCTACTCACCACTTGGTGTATGCCCAAGTCAAAGGCAATACTGAGGTCACTAAGGCAGTCACCAGCAGGAATTCTGTATCCTTGCTGCTGCAGCTTGAAGGGGATAGTTGACGCATTGAGGCATGGATGCACATATATACATATATGTATATATATACATATATATGTATATATATATATGTACACACGCACATGTTAGTATATATACATAGACACACACACACATATATATATAATTATATGTATGTAGATACACATGATCATATGTGTATAATTTAATTATTGTAAAACATACATATAAATACAATCAAATATATACAATTTAGATATCTATAATGTAATAATATGAATCTCCACTACATACACATGCTGATGTGACTGTGACTTATATCATATACAATGCCAGATACCACGGCAAATATCTGTATAATTATGTGCACATGAATATCAACGAGGGGATAAACCACGCTGCAAGTGTACAAACACTCATGTGCATGTCAATCAACCTATTCAATCAAGTCTATTTCTACTGTATTATATTTGTGTATAATCAGTTATAATCATATGTTGCGTCATACAATCATATGTATATATGTATATATATATATATTCATATTATATATATATACTTGAGATTATATGTACAGCTTCAGGAGTGCATCTCTTTCTAGCCCATAGTATCCTCTGGTGACGATTGTCCATACAATATACAGGTGCTCCTGAACATTGGGGGATTCCCGTCCTTTTCTCAACATTTTGATTTGAGAGAAAATTTGATGACAAACCACTACAAACCGTTAGATTTTTAGAATTTTGGAAGTTTTCCCAGGATTTTAAGACAAACCCTAATACTTCATACATCTTTATATCTCCGACCTTTTTGATCGAGGCCTAACTTGGGGGCAAAACCCATCAGGGATATGGGGATGGATCAAAACCTTGAAAATACCACATTTAATTGGGATGAAGAATGATGATGTCTTGACACATCCCTATACATATATATATACACGTATATATATATATACACGTATATATATATATTCATATCTTTGTGTGTGTATATGTAAATGTAAATGTACATGTATATGTATGTGTATGTGTGTATGTGTGTATGTGTGTATGTGTGTATGTATGTTTGTATGTATGTATGGATGGATGGATGGATGGATGGATGTACATATGTATATATATATATATGTATATGTATATATATATATGTATATATGTATATATGTATGTACATATATATATATATGTATATGTACATATATATGTATATATATATATATGTATGCATGTATATATATATATATATATGTATATGTGTACGTATATATATATATGATATGTAAATACATACATGATATGTATATACATACATGATATGTGTATATATATAGATGTTTGAAGTCAAGGATCTATCTGCAGTTCATCCAATTACACAATTTCACACCATAACACTTGTGGGTCATCATGGAGAGTTTACAACGAACTTTAATCATTTAACATTCACCTACATTCACGAATCCCTACAATTTGGTCAACCCAACAAACCCAAATTGGAGCTGGTATAATTATCTGGTTGGTGGTTTCAACCCCTCTGAAAAATATGAAAGTCAGTTGGGATGATTATTCCCAATATATGGAAAGATAAGACCATGTTCCAAACCACCAACCAGATTATGGTCAAATTCCTTGGGTTACCACAGCAATCCCAATATCCCATCCAAGTATCTGGGCGTCTTGACACATCTCTCGTCAAACAATAGGCATCAAACTCCACCAGCTCCGCAGGGAAGTATTCAGGGTCCAACCTGGATCTCGAAGATATTGGGAAAACCATGGGAAACACCACGCACCAAAATCCATGGAAAACCCGAGTTGAATCACAGGATTTTGCATTGAGTTTTGTATCTCCGATTTTCACACCAGAAGATATATGATTTCCACTTCTTCGACACAGGACGCAGCTGCGTCCCGTCCATGCCTGACATATTTTGCAAGTTTCATCCTCATAAGTAGGCTGTAGAAATTATGCAGATTGGAAACCACCAACTGGATACGTTACTCTTTCCAGTAGGGGACTCTCCCAACCTCGACGCAAGAGGCTGGCCAGCAACTCATCTACCCGGTTTGCTCGAACGTGGCTAGCTGGGAAATCCACGAACTAAATCCAGGCTTAAAGTGGGAACATCGTCTATGCGGAATTGTCCATTTGCCATGTTTAAGATTATCTGGGCAATACAACAGAAACGCAAGTTGGCTTCATCCTTCGTCATAGGATGGCATAGGTGACAAGTTGAATACACTTGGATTTGCAATGGTAGATCAACCAATGATGAACATCAAAAAGCACCAGCAAAATCGCAGTTCTTCACCTCATGGGCTTACGACAGTTGAGTGTAGTTTAGTGCTGTTTCACCAACAAAAACGTCATGCCGCGCCTGGGTTCTGGTTGCTCGCATAGATGATCAAAGAGGACCACAAAGGAGGTGACGTCCTGCTCTTCCGAAGTTCGTAGAAGATGGAATCATCCAAGATTCAAGATAGACATATATAGAAAAATACCTAAAAAAAAACAACCAAATTTAAAACGTATTTGGATACATTGAATCATTCAATATTGGTATTCACTTAAATCATATATTATCATATATTTGTATTCATTTCTTCATGGAACATCATGGAACATTGCAAAAGTCGTTGTTCAACGCAACGATCTGCCAGTTGATTGTCTATTTCACCATTGGCTGTTCCCTCTTTTTCAGTGGAAACCAAGCCCCCCCCAGCCGACCGCAAATGGATATCTTCCGGTGCTGAGCTCGAAGATCACCATGCCAACACTCCAAATGTCTGAGGCAAAGGAGTAGTCTTGGCCTTCGTTTCTGGAAAGGAGAACGGATGGCTGGGATGACTGGGACAACCTACTTCGAATCTCAGGCAGGTGCACTATGGTGCACTTTCCACAAGACTGGTACCTGGTATATACTACGAAGATGCAACAAAATACTTCCGGAACGAGGCATGTACCCAATAGGTCAGGCAAGGTTATTTGGAGCAAAATAGGTAAAAGTGATTTTGGAGGCAATTTTCTACCTAATAGGTAATTTTTAAGGAAAACAAAATAGTTAATTTTTTTTAACTACATAGTTAATTTTTAAAGGTTCCTATCAGGGTAATTTTTGAGGATTTAAAAAAAAAATACCTTGAAATTTTGCCATTTTTTCATGGAAAAAAGATAATGAATTTTGACATTTTCTTAACATTGTACCATAGTAGAGTGAATATTATCAATTGTTTGAAAAGTTTTTTAACAATATGTTTCTTGATTTTGTGTGAAGTCAGTTCTACATGATTACTGGAAGTGCAAAAAAACTATATTGTTTGAACTTATACTTGTTTGAGCAAATCAAAGTTTTTATTTGTGAAGATCAAATCTGATTGGATGTTTTGAAGATATGTTATACAACATCAAAGCTACAATGAAGTAACCCGAAGCATACATTCTGTCTTTGAAAGCTCGGTGAGGACATCCATCAAAGTATAATTTAGTTTTTGGTCTTTCTTGTCAAAAAAAAGATTTTGACAGCCGGTCTTTGACAATCTCTGCCCAGTCGCTCCTGGGAGCACTTGCCCTGCTCAGTTTCATAGGAGCATCACAAATCGCTTTTGGCAATGCTGAGGATGAAGTAACCACAGCTGGTGTAGAGGAAGCACTGCTACCACTACCACAACTACCACTACCACTACCACCACAACTAGCTCCAGTGCCAAGCTGGCTCCAGGGCCTGCTCGACATGAATTGACTCATCTGCGAATAACTCATCCTTGGTGATGTTGGCTTGGCCACCATGCAAGACCATGGAACTGCCCTGCTTCTTCTCAATGGCTGTGGCTATTGTCCTGACATGATAGTAACCATCTTTCTGATAGACATCACCTCGTCTTTCTGCTCATTCAAAGCTTGCTGGTTTCACTGGAATTTTTCCACGACATGATGGAGTGAGGCAACCCAGTAACCTGAGATTTGTTGGTGCAAATCTCAAAGTTCTTCTTGAAAACCTCGCACTGGGTATTTCCAGGAGCAAAAGCAAACTCGCCACTGGTGTTCTGCTGAAAGACTTTGTTGATGAATTGACTCTTAAATAACCTTGGGGGAGAGAATTCTTGGAGCCCTCTTCATAGAGCTGCTGAAGATCTTCTGGCACCTGGCCACTTTTGATCATTCTGGTGCATTTCCTTACCTTGGGGTAGCTTCGATGCTCATCATCAGCAACTGTTGCATCCTCCTCTTTAGGCTCCTCATCTTCTCCTTCTGCATGGTCATCAGGAACTGGCTCATCCCTGGTCTTCTTCCATCCTGCTGCCATCTCCTTGGCAGTCTTCGCTTTGGCCTTGGCTTTCGCCTTCAGCTGCATCAGGTCTTTTCAGGATTTTCTTCATTGTGCTCTTGGCTTTTGCCTTTTGAGCTTTCATTGGCGAAGAAGTAACCCCAGGAGCTTTGCTGGCAGCAGCCTTGGCTTTACCTGCTGCCTTTGCCTTGGCTTTAGATTTTGCTTTCACCTTGGCTTTGGCCTTTGCCTTGGGTGCTGCAGTATCTAAGAATCTAAGTCAGCTCATGGGGCAGCTTCTTCTGGAGAAGCCTGTTCTACAGATTCTGGTGCTGGTTCAGGTGGAGGCAAAAGCAAGCATAGCATCAGGTGGACAGGCCTCTTCATGAGGTTACCAACAGGGGCGACAAGTGACAAGTAACTTCAATCTTGAGCACCAGTGTGCTACATGGATGGTACATGCACTTGTACACTTGACATATTTTCCAACCTTTCACCAAAAAGTAGCCCACATACCAAAGACCTTGTGCATGTATCAACCAACCATGGTGCTATTTATCATTCACAAAAGGTGTTGCATGAGATTTTCTTATTTTTGGATGGTAATATGTTTTTGTGAAATGAATATTTGTCCTATGCATGCAATAATGGAAAACAATACTTAAAGATATGCTGCGACTTTAAGAAATGGTTCGTGTTCAAAAACATTAACAAGATAAACAAATATATAAATAGAAAAATAAAACATATATATATATAAAGAATGAATAGCAAAAACAATATTGAACAAATAAATAGTATAAATATATATGTACACAGTATGTATATATATATATGTATCCAATCAATAATCAGTGGTGGTATATGTGGCAAAAAAAACATATTACAGTTTCAGTATTGTACATGTGGCTTTTTGTTTTATTTATGTATGTTCACCTAATGTAATTGCTCTTGTCCTAGTTTTTTTTGAAACTTTAAGGCATCATGTACCCAAATACTAATGTAGAGATATATGTGTATTCATTTGGTGTGGTGTTATTGGTTGGCTTGGGGTTCGGTTACAGTTTTGCAAACCAAACCCATTGCATGCCAACCAACCCTATTAGGTACTTTGTAAAATCAAAGGTGCTTAAAACCCCCCTTAAGGAACTTTTTTTATTTTTAGCAAAATAAAACAAAAAATAAAAATGGGAATGCCCCAAAAATGTGTAATGAAAATATTTGATTATAGTTTCTGTATTGTACATGTGGTTTTTCTTTTCTTATTTATGTATGTTCACCTAATGTAATTGCTCTTGCCCTATGTTTTTTTGATGACACTTTAAGGCATAATGTGACATAATGTACCCAAATACTAATGTGGAGGTATATGTGTATTCATTGGTGTGGGGTCATTATTTGGCTTGGGGCCTGGGGTTACTGTTTGCAAACTAAACCCATTGCATGCCAACCAACCCTAGTAGGTACTTTGTAAAATAAAAAGGTGCTTTAAGCCCTCCCAAGGTACCTTTTCATTTTTGGGAAAAAAAACAAATAAACATATAGATGCCTCAAAATGCCTAAGGCAAATGTTTGATTACAATTTCAGTATTGTACATGTGTTTGTTGGTGTTTTTTTTAATGTATGTTCACCTAATTTAGTTGCTCTTGTCCTAGGATTTTTTTGATGCAACTTCAAGACATCATGTACCCAAATACTACTGTGGATATATATATATATATTATATGTGTATTCATTTGGTGTGGGGTTATAATTTGGTTTGGGGTTACTGCATTGCAAACCAAAACCAATGCATGACAACCAAACCATGTTTTGGGTTACTTTTTAAAACACATTTAGACATGGTGGGTGTAACATGCCAAAACAATTTGCACAAAAAACAACCACTGGTTGTTTTTTTAATGATAAAAAACACTTACAAAGAATAGTAATCCATATTTGGGGTTACTTCTTTTAAAATGATCCCAACAATAGATCCCTATGTTGTTTTTATTTTTTCAACCAGTAACATACATGAAACCTATTTTCTTCTTAAAAAACAACATTTTTTGAAATGAAACACTCATTTTTTTAACAAACAAACATGGTTTTCAAGAAAATAAACACTATTTTTTTAAAAAAAACAAGTTTTCTCTATATTTTTTTTTACTGCCCTGAAAGTTTGTTGAAAGTTTGTTGCAAACTTTCAGTCAAACTTTCAGGGGGGGTTGCAAGTTTGACTGAAACTTTCAATGCAAACTTGCAGGGCTGGATTGAAAGTTTCAATGCAAACTTTCAAGGCTGGATTGAAAGTTTAAAGAAACTTGCAGGGCTACACTGAAAGTTTGCATGAAAGTTTCAATGTAGCCCTGCAAGTTTCTTTAAACTTTCAATCCAGCCTTGAAAGTTTGCATTGAAACTTTCAATCCAGCCCTGCAAGTTTGCATTGAAAGTTTCAGTCAAACTTGCAACCCCCCCTGAAAGTTTGACTGAAAGTTTGCAACAAACTTTCAACAAACTTTCAGGGCAGTAAAAAAAAATATAGAGAAAACTTGTTTTTTTTAAAAAAATAGTGTTTATTTTCTTGAAAACCATGTTTGTTTGTTAAAAAAATGAGTGTTTCATTTCAAAAAATGTTGTTTTTTAAGAAGAAAATAGGTTTCATGTATGTTACTGGTTGAAAAAATAAAAACAACATAGGGATCTATTGTTGGGATCATTTTAAAAGAAGTAACCCCAAATATGGATTACTATTCTTTGTAAGTGTTTTTATCATTAAAAAAATCAAATAAAAAACGAAGGTTATTGTTGCCTGGTTTTTAGATAAACATGTAGTACCAACCATGGTTTGTGTTTGATTGAATGCTGTGTGTTTCCAAAATAGAAACCCCAAACATAGGTTGGTTGTCATGCAATGGTTTTGGTTTGCAATGCAGTAACCCCAAACCAAATTATAACCCCACACCAAATGAATACACATATAATATATATATATATCCACAGTAGTATTTGGGTACATGATGTCTTGAAGTTGCATCAAAAAATCCTAGGACAAGAGCAACTAAATTAGGTGAACATACATTAAAAAAAAACACCAACAAACACATGTACAATACTGAAATTGTAATCAAACATTTGCCTTAGGCATTTTGAGGCATCTATATGTTTATTTGTTTTATTTTTCCCAAAAATAAAAAGGTACCTTGGGAGGGCTTAAAGCACCTTTTTATTTTACAAAGTACCTACTAGGGTTGGTTGGCATGCAATGGGTTTAGTTTGCAAACAGTAACCCCAAGCCAAATAATAACCCCACACCACATGAATACACATATACCTCCACATTAGTATTTGGGTACATTATGTCACATTATGCCTTAAAGTGTCATCAAAAAATTTTAGGGCAAGAGCAATTACATTAGGTGAACGTACATAAATAAGAAAAGACAAAACACATGTACAATACAGAAACTATAATCAGATATTTGCACTAGACATTTTTGAGACATTCCCATTTCTATTTTTTTAATGTTTTATTTTTCCAAAAAATGAAAGGTACCTTAAGATGGCTTAAAGCACCTTTCATTTTACAAGGTACTTTATAGGGTTGGTTGGCATGCAATGGGTGTGGTTTGCAAAACTGTAACCCCAAGCCAACTAATGACTAATAACACCACACCACCTGAATACATGTGTATTAATGCATACCTATATATATATATATTTAAATATATATATATAAAGATATATAGATATATAGACACAGTGATATTTAGGCACATTACGTCTTAGAGTTTCATCAAAATAATCATAGGACAAGAGCAGCACATAAATAACAAAACAAACAAGATATGTACAATACTGAAATTGCAATAAAGCTAGACATTTTGAGACATCTCCATTTCTATTTCTTTAATGTTTTATTTTTCCAAAAAATGAAAGGTACCTTAAGATGGCTTAAAGCACCTTTCATTTTCCTAGGTACCATTGTGGAACCAGTTTTTGAACATGTTAGATTTCGGTTTCGGGAACCAATTTTCAAACGTTTTGAGACATCTCCAGTTCTACTTTTTTAAGTTTTGTTCAATGAAAATGACAAAGCCATGCAACATCCATTGTGAAGTATAGATATCACATTTGTTGATTGATACATTCACAAGGTCTTTGGTATTTCTGTTGTAAGCTTTTCTGACATCATCATGGGCAAAACATGTTCTTCATGGAGTTACTTTTGGTGAAAGGCTGGAATTTACATCAAGTGTACACTTAGGGATGTCTCAAAATAGGAGGGCCCCAAAGCTCTGTTTTGCACACTAAAAAACAAGGGCTTGGGCCCCCCTATTTTGAGACATCCCCAATTGCATATACCATCTGTGTAGCACACTGGTGCTCAAGATTGAAGTTACTTGTCACTTGTCGCCCCTGTTGGTAACCTCATGAAGAGGCCTGCTTGTCCACCTGATGCTATGCTTGCATGTTGCCTCCACCTGAACCAGCACCAGAATCTGTAGAACAGGCTTCTCCAGAAGAAACTGCCCCATGAGCTGACTTAGATTCTTAGATACTGCAGCACCAAAGGCAAAGGCCAAAGCCTAGGTGAAAGCAAAATCTAAAGTCAAGGCAAAGGCAGCAGGTAAAGCCAAGGCTGCTGCCAGCAAAGCTCCTGGGGTTACTTCTTCGCCAATGAAAGCTCAAAAGGCAAAAGCCAAGAGCACAATGAAGAAAATCCTGACAAGACCTGATGCAGCTGAAGGCGAAAGCCAAGGCCAAAGCGAAGACTGTCAAGGAGATGGCAGCAGGATGGAAGAAGACCAGGGATGAGCCAGTTCCTGATGACCATGCAGAAGGAGAAGATGAGGAGCCTAAAGAGGAGGATGCAACAGTTGCTGATGATGAGCATCGAAGCTACCCCAAGGTAAGGAAATGTGCCAGAATGATCAAAAGTGGCCAGGTGCCAGAAGATCTTCAGCAGCTCTATGAAGAAGAGGGCTCCAAGAATTCTCTTGAACACCAGAGGCGAGTCTGTGTTTGCTCCTGGAAATACCCAGTGTTCGAAGTTTTCAAGAAGAACTCTGAGATTTGCAGCAAATCTCAGATTACTGGGTTGGCTTAGGTTGTGGACAAAATCCAGGGAAACCAGCAAGCTTTGAATGATGCAGAAAGACGAGGTGATGTCTATCAGAAAGATGGTTACTATCATGTCAAGACAATAGCCACAGCCATTGTGCCCTGCCATGGTCTTGCATGGTGGCCAAGCCAACCTCACCAAGGATGAGAGTTCGCAGGTGAGCCAATTCATGTCGAGCAGGCCCTGGAGCCAGTTTGGCACTGGAGCTAGTTGTGGTGGTAGTGGTGGTTGTGGTAGTGGTAGCAGTGCTTCCTCTACACCAGCTGTGGTTACTTCATCCTCAGCATTGCCAAAAGCGATTTCTGATGCTCCTGTTAAACTGAGCTGGGCAAGTGTGCAGCATGACATCAAAGAAACCAAAGTGGTTCAGGAGCGACTGGGTAGAGACAAGAAAGACCAAAAATCAATGATACTTTGAAGGATGCCTTCACTGAGCTTTCAAAGACAGAATGCATGCTTGGACAATGCTTCATTGCCAAGTATGACTGGTTCATTATTGCCATAATCTTGTTTCATGCCTTTTCTGACTTTTCCTCATTTTTGCTATGCTGTTGTTTCATAAATTTTGTCAGTGACACAAACACTACCCATGATCAAATCATTTGATCCAATCCAAGCGCCAAGGGAAAAACATGAGACCCTGTCAAAATACATGAAGTAAACCCATACATATAGTAACCCCAAGAGAACATCAGACACATACCATATAACAAAAGAAAATAATAAATATATGTAAAAACGAAGTGAAAAAAAATAACCCTTAAAAGTTACCTTGAAATAGGTTATCAATAATTAATAATAATTACCTTTCAAGATATTTTTTTTACCTATTAGTTAAAAAAAATCGACCAAAATTACTTACAAAAAGGTAATTTTTTTAGAGTTACCTATTTTGCTCCAAATAACCTTGCCTGACCTATTGGGTATTTGGATTCTTCGGAATCTTGGGCGAGAAATGTCGTGTACATGAGCGAGAAAGCAATGAAGCCCCGCCCCGTCTTTTGAACTGTGCAGGACATGGGCATTCGACCGACCCTATGAAATATCCCGTATGTCACCGTATGTCATGACTTTGGCAGGTTTGACTTCCATTTTGGAATGTCATTTATATCCATATCCATGTCGGATGCTTCATGACTCCATGAAAATATCTCATGAATCAATTGCAGTAATTAGCCGAGCTGAAAACTTCGACTTACCTCAATCAAATTCCCATCATCTCTAGTGACGTCGCGACGCCTGGCAACATAAATATATCAATTATGCAGATTTGATCAACCAATCCCAGCAAATCCCAATAAATAACCATAAACATCAACAGATATAACTACCCTCTGGCTATGACTAACAGTTCGCCATGGTAGTTCGATGGCCCTAATCGAAATAGATGGTTTACCTATGTTTACCTATTGAAAATGCTGGATCTTTCCATGGCAAACTGTGAATGTCATGTCATAACCAGGTGGTAGCCCATGAAATCCAAACGACTTCTCCGGGGATCTGAATGGTCGAAACATGATACGCATCGCGCCTAGGCATCGTTCCGGGGACATGTAGGTCACAGTGCCCACGAATGTGCCAGCCATTGCCAGGGTTTGGTCTAAATCCTGCGCCAGGAAAAATGAAGGGGGGGTAGGATTGGGTATTTTCCAAGACTCCAAGTACTTCAAGTATATCTTAGTAGATACCTTGATGGTAATGACCAACATAGCTATGGAAAATGGCCATAGAAATAGTTGATTTGCCCATTCAACATGGTGGTTTTCATAACTATGTTAGTTTACCAGAGGCTACACTAATGGAACTGTTGTCACCCAAAAACTCTCCGGTCTAACCTTATTCTCGGCCATCCTTCTGGTTGGCTGGGGTGGTTTAGCCCGGAATTTCTGGGGTCTTATTAGGGATCCCGAAAAACATTGAGGAAACCCGGCACGTCATCGATCCATCCATTGCTTCTCGCCTTGGCGATGCCGAAATCCGTCAATTTCACCTCGCCCTGGCGATTGTGGAGAATGTTCCTTGGCTGCCGACGTGGCTGCAACTGGGAATGGAACCAGCTGCTGCAAGGGCCAGAATCCAACATGTTTGAGCCTGATCTTCATCAGGTTCTTACGTACATGCACATGAATCTGTGTCTGTATACTGCATATAACTACCTATATCTATATACACAATTATATGATAAATAATTATATATATAATACGTATATATACATATATATGTATATATGCATATATATATTATTACATAAATATATATATATACATTGTAAAATATTATATATATATATATTAAATATATTATATATATAATATATATATATATTATATATTATATATATTATATATTATATATATTATATTATATATATATATTATATTATATATATTATATATTATATATATTATATATATTATTATATATATATATATATTATATTATATAATATCATATAATATCTATACATGAATACACGCAAAAATACCCCATATGCTTGTGTGCAACCTAAAACAAATATACCGGCATTGCAAGAAAAAACAAACACCGTGTGTTTTATCAGTCGCGATCGGTTCCAAGTGGCTCGGGCTTGATGTCTCTGTGAAGCATCTTCTTCCTTGGCAGTGGCAACATTTTCACAACAACTGGGGGCTTGGCTCATGGTGGCTATGGATCTATAGTTCTTATGATTGTATTATACGTTTGTTAAAGTTTCCTAGTATTTATCTTAAATTATCGGACATCTATCGCCTTTGAAGTGGGGCTATGCCGGCTATGCAAAAGGCGATGTCGCCTTTTGAAGCCCAAGTTGCTTGTGCAAATAGTCCAGGCCATTCATGATCTGCGCGGTGATGTTGGACAAATACACCGGCTCCACGCCATAGCCGCCCAAGCGTTTCCTTACTGGTGCGTGCGTGCGAAACGTAGGGTTGCTGGATGGGTTGCTGGATGGGTTGCTGGGGGTTGCTGGGAGGATCTGCTTGATACTTAGCCAGTGGATTCCCGAAAATTCCCTACTAAGCCATGATTATCATCTACCACTAAGCACCAGTAAGCCAATAACCATGAAAAACCATGATTCCCAATAACCATGAAGTAAGTCTGCACAAGTTTCTTCAAGTCTGCCAGACTGCCCAAGTCCATAAACTCCAGCGCCACGTGCACAATCATGGTGCGCTTGGACATGAACCCTGGGAGTCGACTAACATGGGACCCCCAATGATCAACAGCCTAGCGGTGAATATTATATATACGTATATATATATATATCCGAGGTTGAGGTTAATCAAGGTATGAATCGATGGTTCAACACAAAAGAACACTCTAATACGACTGTATATCAGATTTTTGACCTGTAGTGAAGACTTTCAACCTGAAAAGATGCGAGGCTCCCCCATTGTTTCATCTTGAGAACATGCCCGAGTTCCAGCCTGCGTACCAATGGACCAAATTCACGCCTCAGTCCGCACCCCCTTTGGGGATGTGGAAGGTCAAATGCCTTGCGATGGCAAGAAGTTCTAGCGATGCTGCTGTCACCTGGCTGATTCCACCCCAAAACATAGCCCATCTAAAGTAAGATGTTTCGCTGGTTAGCCTTGTATATCTCCATTTAAAGCCCATTTACAGCAGAAGTTTGAGTTGTACTTAGCAGCCATCCAAGGGGTCGGTCAAAGCTCAAGATTCTACATGTCTTGCTTGAACCCCATGTTTGTCCCTCTTTTGTTGGTTAAACCACAATTTTCTCCCATATTTTCTTGGTTGAACAGCATGTAAAAATATATCTTCGTGATGAAATCCCCTATCTTTATCCATCTTTTTCTGGCTCCTTTACTCTCTACCCATTCCACCTTTCGAACACGTCCCAGATGCAGCCATCAGCAGCCACCAGCCCGCGGATCTCGTTGATCAGCTGTTCCCGTTTGGCCTGGAACAGACATGGGAAAAAAACACGGAAGACATCCAGGAACTTGGAGATTACTGGGAAAATCCAGCAAAAATCCATATACCCTCTGGTTATTTAACATAGCCATGGAAAATCACTTATAAATGGAGGTTTTTATGGGAAAATCATCTATAAATGGGCCATTTTCCATGCCTATGTTAAATAACCAGAGGTCATATATATATATATACACATATATGGCAGTGTGTCAAAACCAATAGTACCCCTTTTTTGTTCACATCAAAATAGCTGATAAATGGATGTGAATAACCCCCTAAAAATGGTATTAATAGGTATTGATCCATACCCATATATGTTTGTCAATATCAACATATTGCCATGATAATGATAACAATGTGGTAAACCCAATAATAATCCCCAACATCACCATAATCAATAACTCTTTGGTGGTTGACCTACCCCTCTGAAAAATCATGGATTTCGTCAGTTGGGATGATGACATTCCCAATATATGGAAAGTCATAAAAAGGCTTCCAAACCACCAACCAGATGATGGTTTTAACGGTTTTCCATGGAACGTGGCGATTCATGGGGAATAAATGAGAAACCATGATGGTATAATGAATTTATACTACTATAATGGTGGTGAATAATTGATAATGATTAATAATGGTCAATATCGGTGATTAATGGCGATTAATGAAATTACCCTCTGGTAATCAAACGTGGCTAGCTGGGAAATATCTCATAAATCATCCCATAAATGAAAGATTTTACTCATGTTCCATTCTTGGAGCTAGACTGTTCAAGGGGTTTTCGGCTTGGTGTTCGACTTTTCAAGGTTTTCAAACAAAGCCATCATTCAGAATACATATGAACACACTGGTTGGATCTGATTGGTAGATCTCAATAGGATACGCTTGTGGGTCATGTATGGTCATGTGGCTATTGAAACCAACCAGAACTACAGAAACTGGGGATATAACCAGCACGGAATAATTAGGGGAAATAGGATATTAATTGAAAATATCATGATAATCATGGGGATATATCTATAGGATATCACTATACTCGTGGTTGAGCATCATCCCAAAGTCCCTAAAGAATAGGAAAGTCAAACAAATAAAGAATGAGAGATGATTAAAGCCACCAACTACTTTTGTTGATGAAACATCTTAGGTCTTTCTATGATTATTCTTCAAGGAATATATTTTCAGATTTTAGCAAACAGGGAGCTGGAAGAGAAACTTGATTCCAAATTCATTTCTGGGTCAGAGTCAAACCTGGGCACACAAAAATGGAGAGAATCATAATGGACAAATCCCCTTTTAGTTCGATGCTTGTTCGATCATTTAGTACTTTTTCCTATTCCAATTCCCCAAGGGCCATGTTTGATCACCGCAGGTGGAGCCCATCAGGCCTGGTCATCAACCTTCACTGTCTTGACCTTGGCAGGTAACTTTGGTCACCAAAGTCACAGCATGGGGATACCCCATTGGGGCTTTCTTCAGTCATGGGGATACCCCAAGCTCGCTGGATGGTTGATTTCCATGGGAAAATCCCAATCCAAAATTGCAAAAATAGATGATGACTGGGGGTAGCCCTATACCCTTAGGAAACCTCCATATCATGATATCTCCATAGTGGCTACAACTCTCTATAGTGGCTTCAAAAATTGGATGATTGGGGGTACCCCTATGACTCAGGAAACCACCGAGTTTGGATAGCCATGGTCCTTCGCCCAGCGCTGAATCTGACACTGGTGCCTGGCAGCCATGGAAAAATCACCCCTGGGTTGGCGGCCGAGACACGGCCACGGGAATACCGCTCTGTTTGATCACGCCCTTCATCACCTGGGACGCCACAGAAAGGCCATGTCTCCGTTGTATGGAGATTCAACCAACAAGAACAGAGAGTTTGGCCCATCAAGATTGGGATTTAACATGATTTAAACAGCCAACATGGTGTATCATTGGTGGTTCAAGCCCTAAAAATAGGAAAGTCATTAACCCCCGGAATGTCTCAGGCAGCCAAGGAAGTCAAACAAAAGACTTGCACCCACCGATTCAGTTTAATTTGAAATACGTTCTTATCCCCACTATATACCTCTTTATAAGCTTTATATTGTGGTCACATCTTTATTTCACTGTTTCTCTGGTTAAATCCAAATTTCTAGCTTTTCACTTGCCCAATTTTTGGTCCCCTCTCCTTCACGTCCACCTTCACGTCCACCTGGGACTACACGTCTAGCCAGGCTACAACGCCGCAAGCACCGGCTCCGAGGTGTGAGTCTGGTTCCAGCTCAATGTCCTCCGGCTGAGTCTTTTGGAAAGGGGTCCCTGGGGCCCCTTATGCTAGGTACCCTCTGGTAATGACTAACATAGCTATGGAAAATTGCCATAGAAATAGAATTTATAGTGAGTTTTCCCATTAAAAATGGTGATTTTCTATAATAGACGTTAGTTTACCAGGCCGGGTAAATCCCATTAAATCCCATTAAAACACCATTTTCCTATGGTTTTCCTATGGTTTTCCTATGGTTTTCCTATAGTTTTTTCCATTTTTTCCTACACTTTCAGACCCAACCTGTGGAGCCTGTGGACTAGGACCAGGAGTTGTTTTAAATCTATACCAACTGAAATTCCGAAGAGTTCTAAATTTGAATATATTTGAACTATAGGAAAAAATCCATGCGACATTCCCATGTCCATGGATGTCCAACATCCCAGAACAAGCAATTTTAAGAACATGCTGGATCTCTAAGTGAAGGGCCATCCACACTCCATGTCGGGCCACGGCCAGATATCCGATCGAACCAGACCCATTCAACTTCTGTCGACCAATCGCATCTTGAAAGTAATCATCGCCATATGAACTCACGGAATTATCAAATCTCTTGAGAGTTGACAATAGCTAAAGCAAGCTACTGTAGATCCCCATGATCCGTGATCTCACGATATTTTCTCGCAAAAAAAAATACCATCCCCTCCTCGGGCGAAAGCCGATACTCCGTGCCTTCAAACCTCATAAAAGTCAACCAAATGGGCCAATCTTCCAAATCAACTTGTACCAAATGTGAATGGATCCCCCAACATGGGAACCTGAAAGCGAATTGACTATTGCCGCGCTTTATGCTTCCGAAGTGCGGAGGTCATGTTGGGGTGGCCCAAGGCCCCAAGGGATCTGAGATCTCAAAAACCTCACCTACCCCGGTGGAACTTCAAATCCTGAAAAAAAAACTCCAGAAATATATTTTTTTTTTCACCCATGATTATATATATATCATGTTTTGGTGTTCAATTCAATCAACTTTTCCATCATTGCCATTTGTTTTTCACATGTTTTCACTGCCAACCATCCAATTTTCCAGGGATTGACCATGACTTTGACATGGTGGGCTTTGCAACTGTGATGCTGCACAGGGTTCCTCAACATCACCGTGACTGATGAAACCATTGGACCATTGGACCATCAATGATTGCTCCAGATAAATCACCATTTTGAGTGATGTTTCACCTTCTTAAAATGAAGACATACACTGTTGTTAAAAACGACACACATCACATAAAGAATCTTAAACAATGAACAGACTGCTTGGCAATTGGATATGTTGATTTAATTTTTAATCTATCATAATGTATGTATATATAATCTATCTACATTTTCTATCATTTTCTCTTTAAATCCATGGCATTTGGCACATGGCCTCAATCCACAAACCGTTATCGATCCATCGCCAGGTCGCGTGATGCCCTCCTTGGTCGACACCTTCGTCCCGGTCTTCCGATGTCGCATGGTGCCGCTGGGATCGATGGACCACGTCATGCAGACCGAATTCTCTGTGTCCACCTCATCCACATCCAGCCTGGAAACGAGCCAATAGAAACGGACTTTGGATAGGATTTCCCTGATTCATAGTTTCGGTTGATTTATTGATTTCTAATTTCTGTTGCTTTGAAAACTATCAGTTGGATTTATGGTGAATATGTATTTACAATTATTTACATAGTTTAGACGGGGGTTGGGAGGACCCACAGTTCCGCAACTGGGAGGGCACTTCCCTGTAGAGATATTTAAGCACTGAAAATAAGGATGTAACGGACACAAATGGGATTATATCTGGGCAACTGCTATTACAGTAGATCTGTCAATGGATTGATTTGGGGAAAAATGTAAACGGATGTAAACACACACTGGCTGGTATATCACCTAGCAATACCCGTTACTGAAAAGGGATGAACGGGTATCTACCAGCTATCTCGAGGGGTCGACAAAAAAAACAACCATAACCTGAAGTAACTGGCCAGGGGATTATTGGGCGTTTGCCTGGAACTTGACAACAGTTTTTCCTTCGATGTTTGTCCTCACAGGTGAGGGGCTCTAGATTTTAGCAAAGGTGCAACTCCCTCTCCTTCTCCTTCTCTAACGATAAATACTTAGTATAACAACTATATTAATATTCTCTATGCTAATAATCTAATGATAATCTAATATTAATATATTATAGATATATCCTCCTCCTCCGCCTCCTTTTCCTCTTCATCTCCTCTGCCAGCTGCGGATATGGGCCATGCTGTGACCGAACTCTAAATCGCCCCGGAGAGTTTGGAGTGTGCCTGGACCCGAACTCATGTCAGAGGGAATGTCAGAATATATATATATATATTTATGCAATATATATACAAATACACAATGAATAAACAGATAAATGAACAAATATAAATAAATAAATGAATAAATCAATGGATTAAATAAATAAACAACTGAATAAATAAATAAATAACATAAATAACATACATAAATAAATATATTAAATAAATGAAATAGATAAATAAATCAAATAAATAAATTAAACAAATAAATGAACAAATGAATAAACAAATTAAATAAATGAATAAATGAATTCATAAATGAATAAATAAAAAAATTGATTAAATAAATAAATGAATTAAATAAATAAACACATAAATAAATAAATAGATGAATAAATAAATTAATGAAGTGACTGAATAAATACATCAATAAATTTAATAAGTAAATAAATAAATTTATTAAATTAAATAAAAAAATGATAAATAAATAAATACATTAATAAATAAATGAATAAAACATAGTTAATTAACCAAATAAACATAAAATAACATAAATTAAATAAACAAACTAATAAATAAACAACATAAAATAAAGTAAATAAATAAATAAACTAAAATAAATAAATGAATAACTAAGTAAATAAAATAAAACACAAATAAATAAAATAAAACACATAAAAAACAAAATAGATAAATAACATAAAATAAATAAATACATTAAGAAAAACAAATAAAACAAAAGCAAATAAATTAATTATATAATAAAAAAAGTGTATGTACATATCTCTATTATTATATATATATATGTAACACTTTCACACAGAAACTATGTCAGAAGGGTGTATCAGGGTGGGGATCACTCGAAGAAAGTATTGTATTTTGAGCTAAGTATTGTATTTTGAGCTATAAAAGAGGGACAGGGAGAGACACACCGGCCCTTGTACTTCAGCAATGTACAAAATGGGGCGATTTTCATCCTGAGGCTTAAGCTACCAAGCATGTTCCTGACAAATCTCCATGTATAGTTGGTGCTGTTTTTGCCACCTGAATCCCAAACATAAATAAACATGATATTACGTGAAACTATCAACCAACATCAACCAACACAATGATGGGAACGCCCGACAGATACTTCCCGAGGCTAATAGCTACCAAAATGTCCATGACATACAAAAACGGGAATCAAAGCAACAAGTATAGATAACATAACCGGATACTTTTGTTGGGCAGCAGTTGATTGGGATCCGCTGCAATTTTCGACCAAAGACTTGGAGAGCAGTGAAATAGCCACGGGTTTTCCACTGGAAAATTGGAACAGTCTGAGGTACCCTCTGGTCATTTAACAGTTCGCTATTGAAAATCACCATAGAAATAGTGGATTTTCCCATTGAACATGGTGATTTTCCCATCAGTTTTTTGTAAACGTTTACCAGGCCGGGTAATGTTGAATCATTCTGTGGTCATCTTTGGGATCGAAATCTGATGGTCAGTACTCAGATTACTACCCAAAGATTGGATGCGATATGGCAGTATGTCAAAACCCTGGTACCCCTGGTGAACATCAAAATAGCTGGTAAATGGATGTTCATCTTCCTAAAAATGGTATTAATAGGTATTGATCCATACCCATATGATTTCTAAAGCAAGTTTCAGTACCAAAACACACCACAGTCAACGGACCCATATCCAGTTGACAGTCCCATGGCTCCATAATGCTCCATATATATTCAGTGCAGTTTCCGATGCCAAAAAATCTCACGGTATTTTGAGGTTGCAACATCCCGTCCTATCCGATGGTCACCAACAAATAAACCAACCAAAAATCATGAAAAACTTGGAAGTATGCTGACCTAGAGTCATCTTCCAAAACATCCCCAAAACCAGCAAGATCAGTCTAGTCATTAGTCTGGGCAAATTATAATAATTCACTAACCTGAAATGTCAACCATATTGGGATAATTCCCCTATACATTCACCATGACATTCCAGTGTTAAGGAGCACAGGGTGAACCGGTCGTGATGAAATTTACCCAGATATCATAAATCCCATGAAATCCCATGAAATCCCATGACATCCCATAATTTTATATGAATTTCCCAGGTAAATCATCGTTAAATCCCATTCACTCCGACTAAATCTGCTGATTAGTCATTAAACATCACCAGCAGAAACCTCGCCCGGAGATTTGATGGCGGCCCAGGGACATCATGCGTGGCGGCATGGCACTTTTCACGCTCACCTTCGGGAAGATTCGAACGGGCCAACATTTGAGGTAAATATACCATACATGGAAAGTTTTTGGGATATGAAAACGATAATGATAAATGTAGATGATGATGATAATGTTGTTGTTGTTGATGATGATGATGTTGTTGATGATGATGATGATGTTGATGATGGTGATGATGATGATGATGTTGATGATGATGATGATGATGTTGTGCTATTTTGTACTTACATTTGAGGTGTTTTGATCATATACACCGTTTCTTAGGTGAACTCAGAACAATATCAACCTGCACAACAACACACAATCATGTACGACTCCATACATGAAACTGGTCGCTTTGCCTGTTCCACTGCTGTGATATCAGATTCGTGCCTTGTTTTGTCGGCCGACGAAGAATTTGTGGCAATCACCTTCTCATCTGTCACAGGGAGGACCCTGGCTGGCCCCGATTTCTGGTCGAGATTCACAGGGAAAATCGACTCGAGGCCCGTTACGGCTGCAGCACAACAGCAGTCACCAAGTAATCCATCTGATGGGAGAAACGACCAATATGATCCTACAGCGGACCTTCCACGAATCTAACACGGCAATGGAAAATGACCATCAATGACTTATACTTTACCATACTTTACCATACTTTACCATACTTTACCATACTTTACCAACTTTACCATACTTTACCATACTTTGCCATACTTTACCATACTTTACCATTCTTCATCCATTTCCCAGTCCATTTGTCAATGGTTTTCCTGATCAAAAAACAGGGCTTTTTGTTTTTCCTATGGGGGCTCCTCGTTGACCAGGCTCAGCTCTGGCCTTGGCAAAACTGTTTCGATCCCGTGTGGGGCCATGTTCAAGCCAATGCTTTAGGATTTATTGTAAATCTCGAGTTTCTGAATGTTTCTGATTATTCAGTCTAAAAATATTCAGCAATGTTTCTGGGAGGTTCCAAGTGTACTTAGCATCGATACGCATGTACTTGTTGTTGCCTTTTCCAGGATAGCATTCCTAGTAGTTGCCTTCTCTGTTTATGTCATTGACATGGTGTTGACAGCAACCATTCACTGGATTGGTTTGAGGAAAAATCCCAAGCAAACAATGTTTTTTAAATAGTGTTTTACCACTCAGTTGTAAACTAATTAATACTGATGGCCATGCAATTGTCAAAATGCTAAGAATATGAAACCAGTTTGGCTCAGCTGTTGGGCTATAAGTAGATTTCATCTCTAGAAATAAACCAGATCAAACGATTCACTTTGGAAGGTCTGCCACATTTGCAACAGTGAGACAAACAAACAAACAAACAAACAAACAAACAAACAAACAAACTCCCAAACCATGTCCCGCATTAACAAAGCAAACCTTGAGATTCGTTCGATCCATGTTTCCTGGGCCCGCATTTAGTTTGATGATCTTTCCATTAAACCTTTATATGATTATATGTATACCCTTAAACGTATTCATTCTCTCTCTCTCTCTATCCATCCATCCATCCATCCATCCATCCATCCTTCCATCCTTCCTTCCTTCCTTCCTTCCATCCTCTATCCCTACCTATCTTGTATATATTATCAATCTTATCTATCTTATCCATCTAATATATCTTATCTAATCTATCTTATCCATCTAATCTATCTACCCTATCTAATTTATCTAATTTATCTACGTTATCCAATTTATCTAAAATCTATCTAATCTGTCTAGTCTAGTCTATCTAGTCTATCTAATCAATCTGAATAATTTATATAATGTATCTAATATATCATATATCTAATCTATCTAATCTATCTAATCGGTCTAATCTATCTAATCTATCTAATCTATCTATATAGTCTATCTAATCTATCAAACCTAACCAAGTTATCTAATTTATCCAATTTATCTAATCTATCTAATCTATCTAGTCTATCTAGTCTATCTAATCTATCTAATTATATCTAATCTAATTAATCATCTAATCTATCTAATCTATCTAATCTATCCAATCTATCTAATCTATCTAATCTATCTAATCTATCTAATCTATCTAATCTAATCTAATCTGATCTAATCTGATCTATTCTACCTAATCTACCTATCTACCGAACTACCTAACTAATCTATCTAACTACTCTATCTAACTAATCTATCTAACTAATCTATCTATATCTATCTATATCTATCTATATATATATATCTATCTATCTATCTATCTATCTCTATCTATCTATAGGATGCCCCACTGGGCCCCCTTTTAATTTTGTCCACTAAAACCGTATCTACCCTCTGTGGCTAGCTGGAACATTCACCATTTATAGTACATGTTCCCAGCTGAAAACCTCCATTTTCACACCAGAGGATACATTGGACAAACCCAAATCTGAGCAGCGCACGCTTCGAGCCTGAAGTCCCGCCTGTAAATAGTGGGAGTATAACGGGACAAAGCATCTACTAATTGCTGCAGGATTTCCTCCATCCACAGTGTCACTAAATACATATATATATATATACTTGTATCTATATATACAATAGACATACATATATATAATATATATATATATATTATACACACGTATATATAATACATTCAGAAATAGAAATATCTGGATAAGTCTGGACAAATAAGAATAACTCACCAACGTATGTGACTAACTTGGTTTTACAAAAACATCGTTGGGATTGTCATCCCAGGTTGGACAATCGAGCGTGACAGACCTGACGCTCGTTCGGCGTGGGTCACACCCAACTTTGGGCTGGTTGGTGGTATACCTACCCCTCTGAAAAATATGAGTTCGTCAGTTGGGATGATGATATTCCCAATATATGGAAAGTCATAAATCCATGTTCCAAACCACCAATCAAGTGTTGATTTTTATTTGAACTAATCTAATATCTAGAATTATCTAGATATCTCTAGACTGTCCACTTGCTGTTTTCAACATATTAATCTAGAGATATCAATTCAGGACATTGCTGACATCACCCATGAATGCATCGGGTAACCACCTTTCAAATGGCCGCTAAAAACAAGAACTTTTCACCATCGTCGTGTGGGATCATGAGGACGAAAACGGGGAAAACGGGGTCGTCAGTGGGAGCAGATTTTAACATGACCCCGTTTTCCCAGTGATGGATAGGAAAAAATGGTATCCACGTTAAAAATGATCAAACATGGATAGTACTTTTCTCAGTGGAATATTAGGAATCATATTCTCAATATAACATGATCATACATTTTCCCGTTAAATTTTCCAGATTGTCCCTATAACAACTAGTCAGTTGAATGTTAAACTTGCTCGAAACTTGCCAACTTTTCTTCGTCTCCTAGTTGGGAAGGATCGACGGCGCAGGGAGATGGACCGCACTACGATACAACATAACTATTGAAAATGGATGAACATGGCCATCAAAATAGTTGATTTATGTTGATTTACCCTATAACACGTGGTGATTTTCCTTAGTCTTTTGTATGTTTACCAGATGCATGAATAGTCTTCAGCTTTTTGAAGGAATGTTTTTTGCACACATTCGAACCACCATTCAGATGGCGATTTCTCCAACACTGCGAAAGGGGTTCATCAGAATTCACCGGTCCAAAAGCGACAAAGTTGGAAGTCTGCTGATGGCTTGTCGAAGTTGTCGACGACGAGCGCAAGGCAAGTTGAGCTCCATTGGGACTGTCAACTCGTGCAAGTCCAAGCTTTCATCTTCGCACTCATTGAGTCTAACGGGAAACGGCCAAAACTGGAGCTCTCCCCATGTACAACAGGGCCTCTGACTGGTTCGTTTGGGGATGCTTAGGGTTCATTGCCAATCTGAGATACCATTTGATATCATCCAAAAATCCAGTCAAGGAGGTTTACCCAGTGCATATTCCGTTGTTGATGTGGGTACCGTGATCATGCGACAAAGGACTGAAAGCTTGCAATGCCGATTCATGGCGCTGTGAGAACCCGCCTCGGAACACACCCAGTCTAAGATCAAAAACCAGTGGTTTCGTCTGGAGATCTGGTGGAATCCCCCCCAATTTCATGATGAAGTGATGATGAAATCATATGAAATCGTCATGTTTGCCATCACTGCGGATCCAATCTGGCCACCGCCAAGGTGCTCTTGGGCGCTCGACTTTCGTCCATGAAAATTGGGCAGCCACAAGCGTTGCGTAGTCCCAGCATTTGATGGGACGCAGGTGCTCTGCACGCTGTTTTTAGGCCGAAAACCCTACTGGGATGAGGATTTCATAGTTCCCAAGGTCGTTCCATGGATGGTTAAGTTGACTGGTCAAGAACCATTTTCCCTCGATAAACGACATAACATATGCAACGTATATAGGTACTATAATGTAGTATAATGTAATATATATATATATACGCATTTGTATATATATATATATATACATAGACATATCATCAAATAAATAGTAGACAACATCGCGGACTAACATGAAAACACCTGATAACTATATAGTATGCTCATCCAAGTAGCGGCAGTCTTGTTTCGGAAAGCCTTACAGCACTCATTAAACCGGGCTAAACTTGGGCCCCCACATGCTGCAAAGCCTTCCGTCCCATAAATAAAACATAATTCGTTCGAACCAACGTCCGAGATCTTCTGAAATACTTCCAGGAGACTTCATCCTCCGATCCGGTTCAAATGGCCACTTCCAGCAAATGATCGGTGGTTTCAGCTACCTTTCAGCTTTCAACCCGTATCAAAATATGTCAAAGTCAACTGAGATCTGGGGGGTTCCTAAAACGGTCCCCCAAATCATCCAAAGTTAGACCATTTGAGTATTGACACCTAATGGTTTTGGGTACCCCATGGTACTCCCATTTCAGGAAACCTCAATCTATTGAAGCCACCGGAGATCTTTCGGTGGCACGTAGGGACCGGAGGTGACAGTAGACGATGGGCCCCATTACAATATTTTCAAGGGCTCCTCCGTTACCACAACTGGAGATTTGTCGTGCCAAAGAGCTCACTGGGAACACAACGGATCAAATAGCGTTACGCCATTGAAACATATTGAAACCACTCAATCCCCAACAAACGTCATCCAGTAACAATGGTTTCCAACTAATGTTGACCAAGATCAGAACTCAATTCTTACTAAGAATACTTCAGGATAAAAACAGGTACTAATCATTGCTAATAAGTATACTAAAAGAGCAACAATCATTACTAATAAGTGATCAGGATAAGTAATAATAAAATCACTCAGATAATTCACATTGATAACCAATGAAAGCAGTGATCAATCATGATACTTGATATTCCAATAATACGAACAATTGAAACAAGGTTAATGATAATAGGTACCTTGATAAAAACAAAATAAAACAAATATATAGAACAATCAATCATAGTAATCAAAAAGTAAGAATGGCCATGCGAATAACAGCACGGGATAAGCACAAGGATAATGATAAGAATAGCAATGGTAATGATGATATAGTACGAAGTAGTTGAAGCATTAATAGGCAATGATAATTATATAATAATGAATTACAATAATATTGATATACTTCATATAATTTATACTTAATAGCAATACTAATTGAAACTATATAATTAAATTCATGAGCAATTATATAATAGAACCACTAATGCCAGCATTCGATAATATATGTGAATCAAACAATATTCAATATTGTTAGAATCATTATCATCAGTAGTACTACCAGTCGTAACCATTAGTCATGATCATCACTAGTAATTAGTTGATGATAATCACATTCAATATTTCATTGACAGCGGCATTCATGAATTAATGAGCAAACCACCGAACCAATCATAAAGAAATAAACATAGCAACAACGAATACGCAAGATGAACAAACATTTAAAAAAGTAGCAACACGTGCCGAAAAGCAACAATAAGTAAAAATAAACAATGATATTTAACAATACGTGATAATACGCGAAAGTAATAATAAAGAATACTAATCAACAATAAGTAATACTAAGTAACACCAAGTAATACTAAGTAATACTAAGTATATAATACTAAGTAATACTAAGCAATACCAAGTAATACTAAGTAATACTAACAAATAACTAATGACAACAATTCAGAAGAATATCAAAAAATGATCATTCTAAACAATGACAGTAGTAGACAGCAAAACATAATGGACTAGTCAGAATAATATTGATGACAACATTTGTCAACGATAGATAGTAATTAGAAACAAAAAAGCGGGAATATTAATAACACTAGGAATATAATCATATATCATAAGAATAGAGAAGAGTAGCAATCATCCATAAGACATAGAATTCATAGGTGCATTCATTAATAATGTCATAGTTTGCCGAGTTTGCCAAGGATGGTCAAACCTGGGGGCAACATAGCAATAGCAAATCTAGATGCAATTAGTCATTGCAAACATGAAAGCCATAATCATGATGAAAAAATAATTTTCAGTATTCGGAAAATTTTTGAACACTCCATATTCTATCTACTTCATATTATGTATATATGGGAATGGGGGCAAAATTGGGTACCCTAAATATAGGTGGTAAATACTAAAGAGAGGCAAGCCAATCTATGGTGCCCTGAGTTTTAATTTTTGACCCATCCCCAGATAAATGTACATATCCTAGGTAAATTCTAGTATTTCACTAGAGATTTTTGGTCAATATTGGGATAGTTACCCCAGCTCTAACCATCACTCCAGTGAGGTCGACAAATTGAGGTTGTTGTAATTTATCCAGATAAATGTATATAGTAATGATCAGTGGCTCCATATATACCTGGAGCCCATCATGCTACTTAGCCGCTACTTTTGTGTCTGCTTCTCGGATGCCTTTTCGAAAGAGACCTGGAGCCGATTTCGGTGGCAATTTCCAAGTGAACAATTAAGGACATATATGGAACATTATGGAAAATGATGATCATCTAAGATCTATTGGAAACGAGATTGATACTAAGCCCGTCGAATTTACCACAAACCACACAATATATGGTAAGTTTTCACCTCGTGCATCTTTCTGGGGGTCGATATAGATTGAGCATGATTGAGCAATCACAAGCACATACTAAATGAATAACCAGCAAATACGGTCACGGACATACTGGTGCAATTCTGTCTGGATCGTCTACATGTTATGCTCTTTGATGGGAACAAACGGACGTTGAGAGATCATAAACCACCATATTTCCGTGTTGTTGATGGTTTTTTCACACCTTGAAGCTATGTCAGTTGTTTCTAACCCCAGCATTCTAGGAATGATTATGTTGTGTGAAATGCTGGACACGTTAGGGCTATGATCTGAGTAGAATGAAAATCCTGGCTGCGAGATTTTGAAACTACATGGATATAAAAATCTGCCAGCATGTGTCAACCATTCTTCATACAATGGCTTTCAGGCATATCATTTTATATCATCTGGTTGGTGGTTTCAACCCCTCTGAAAACTATTAGTCAGTTGGGATGATTATTCCCAATATATGGAAAAATAAGACATGTTCCAGTCACCACCAACCAGTCATTTTATATCCATGTTCTGACAAGAAATTGTACACCCAGGATGTTTGTCTGTGAAATTTGCCCCCCTGAGATGGTCAGACCTGAAACTCCTCAACTCGTCTCTCAAATGCATCCTGCGCAGTTGAGAATTTAAAGATATCTGGAGGTGTCCTAAAAATCTAAAATGGGGGTACCCCCAAATCATCCATGTTCCACTATAAACCAACCATTTGGGGGTCCCCCCCATCTGTGGAAAGCCCCATTTCAAGCAATGTCACTTTGAAGTATTGCTTGTCTCTGGGGATTTGGGAAAATGTACACATTGACATGCATAGATTATCGAATGAATCGTAACCGTATATTATTTTATCATCATTTATCTAATCACAAAAAAAAACGAGGATGTCACATCTGAGCTTCTTGATGGAATCGCTACCCAGTTCTATTTTCTAGGGAGGAACCCAGCACACATTCTTCTGAATTGCCTGTGTTTGAATCTTTGGAACCACCAATCGGACTAGTTTCGAAGGAATATTTCAACCCTACATCATCATACCAACTAATTTTTCGTGATAAAATCGCAATGTTCAAGCCCGCTTGGTTCTTGCACATTTTGCCATATTTGACCACATCTAATCGATTCCAATCACATTTCATCATTTTCCGAAACCTCAAGCATCTTTAAAAATACGTGTCACGTCGCGTTACGTTCTGGTAATTTTGAAAAACATGTATGAACATGGCCATTTAATGCCATATATATAGATTTCTGAACATTATTTACCTATTAAAAACATGGTGATTTTATGTGATTTATCACATACCAGAAGATAGCGGCGTTTTTCACGGGGTCCTTATCGACCTGAACGGAGGTCAAAAACTTGTCCAAGTTCTGCACGTGACTCTGATGCTCCTCTCTCCCACGGCCTCTCTGTGATCGTAGCGCTTTCCAGGACGAGAAAATGGCGAGGCCTTCTTCGAAGTCGCCTTTCAGAATGGTGGATTCTCTCGCTTGAGATGGAAATTGATTATGGAGAAATTATGGCTTGAAAAGGCTAAGAATCAAAGCATCACAAAGCATCAAAATCATCAAAAACAGCGACTCCACCAACAGAGATGGGGAGTTAATCAACAAAGATGTTGAGTCAACCACAAAGGTGGTTTAAGCAAAAAGGATGGGAAGCTAGTCAACACGATCAACAAGAATGGGGATCTGGATTTGGAATGATTTGGAATGATTTGGAATGATCCATAATCACTAGTAATACCCTCTGGTAAACTAACATAACTATGGAAAATCACCATTTTTAATGGGAAGATCCACTATTTCTATGGCCATTTTCAATAGCTTTTTGTATGTTTACCAGAGGGTAATCATCCCATTCCCCCATTGCCATCCACTGCCTAGCACCAAGATGTCGAGACAAAATCGACTCATCGGACCCGTGGACATAGCTTCGGGACAATAGCGACCCATCGCTTGCTTGAGGTCATGAATATCAAAGAATATAAAACACATATATTAATCAAAGAAATCCTTCCCCCTGCGATTGCGATGCAGATGATGCAGTGATTTTGAGGCAATTGCTTCTTGAGAAATAAGTCACTTGGCTTTACCACCCTTGAACATCGAGAAAAGGAGGATAGGGCGGGCTAACATCACCATGGCTTCCTTTTAGTATCTTCAGTGCTCTGAGGCGTAACTAAGCCGCAGACATTCAACCTCTGCCGTGGGGGCGCGGCCTACGACAACGGAGCACAGCACGGGCTCTTTGCCGATGCTATGGCCCACCACTGGGGTGAGCTTTTGGGTATCCAGTTCCAGGGGAGCCACTTTGCCTGCACCGCAGCCCATGGCGAGAAAACCAGATCCACCGTGGTGGTCGCTTTGTGGCCAAGGGAGCAAACTTGGGCCAAAAACTGCAGGCCAAGTGGGTCAAACACCTTGAGATGCTGTTCATAGACGATCATTTTGGCGCTTACAGCTCGCAGATCCACCTGTTGCTGCCCAATGCAGCACTAAAATTCATCGAGTAAGCTACCCGACCAAAGTAACCAAAGTCTTCCCAGAACTTGCGCAATGCGGTAACTTCAGCAACGCCTCTCTGTCTCACGACGCTGTTTACCTCAGATGGAGACATATTTGGTGGCGGTTAATTCTGTGGATCAAGAAGGTAAAGAAGGACATCTCGCCCATCGGTTGAACTGCCAATTATTGGTTGACATAACCGCCGTTTTTGGTGTAATTCAGCTTCATCCCCTTATAACTCATCTACTAACAGTTACAGTAGGTGACTTACCTTAGGTAACCTACCTGAAGCTACCATGAGAGAACTTGTCAACATGCAGCCTCTGGGAATTTCGCATAGCCATGGAAAATGGTCCCTTTATAGATGATGTACCTATGGACCTACGGGTATTCGACAATTTTTTCAGGCTATGAAATCAGTTGCTTCCGGAGTCACCAACAGATTCCATCTTTTGTGTTGGTGGTTGCTGGCTAAACCATGCTAAAACCCCTTTTTTTGCGGCCTACATTCCCATGTTTGCTGGTTGAGTCCACATTTCAATCTCGAATTCGATGGATCATTTCCAGTTTTTGTTGGATACATTCTGATCTTTGTTAGATACATTCCATGTTTTTGATTGATTTCTGTTTTTGCCGGATCAGTTCCATTGTTCGTTGGATAAGTTCTGGATTTTTGCTGTCCCTCACCAGTTGGTGAACCACGTCCGCCGGACTCACCAAGATGCAACGTCGTTCCCCGTAGATGCGATGCAACGCAGGACCTTCGCACGGCCCTGTGGACCAGGGACCTTTGTGCATGGTATCCGCGTGTATGCAACTATGTATACATGTAGTATACATATATGGTCCCGCCCGGCGTCCGGCAACCCCCCCTCTCCCCCAATGCTTCCCCCCCCAGCCCCCCCAGCAACCACCCCCATGGGGGTGACCAGCCGTCTACCACCATCCGTCAAGATCTCATATGCTCATATGCTGTACTTACATGCTGGCCTCGTGCCACCTATGCACTACATAACGGAATACCTCCATGCAGTGTTCACTACTGCCTAGAATATGCAGATACAAACTATTTACAACGTATTACTGCCAATAAAGTACCGTGCCAAATACTAGTTACTATCAAGATCTCATGCGCTATACATACGTGCTTGCCATGTACTACCTATACACTACCTACATGATACCTCTATAACACCCCACCCATCCCACACGGCGGGCATGGGGGTCAGCTACACATGCATCTCGCTATTTACAAGGTATTACTGCCCATGAAGTACCTTTATAGTAGCCATATGCTAGCTACTATCAAGATCTCATGTGCTACACATACGTGCTAGCCACATACTACCTATACACTATCTACATGCATCTACATGATACCTCTATAACACCCGGGGGGCATGGGGGGCAAGCTACACCTTTCATCACTCTATTTACAACGTACTACTGCCCACGAAGTACCTTTATAGTAGCCATATGCTAGCTACTATCAGATCTCATGTGCTATACATACGTGCTAGCCACATACTACCTATACACTATCTACGTGATACCTCTGTAACACCCCACCCATCCCACAGGGGGGGCGGGGGTTAAGCAGACCCTAGAAGGATCATTTACATGCTGGCCACATACGGCCTACTTACTGCCTTACACACTACTTGTGCCAGTGACACTCTACCTAGCCCCCACCCACCCCAAAGGGGGTGCGGGGGGTAAAGTAGACCCTACATCGATCATTTATATGCTAGCAAATTTTCAACTATATTCGACAGCGTACATACAGGACCATGACCATGAGGGGGGGAGGGGGGGTTGCAGGGCTGAGCCATATATATATATACACGTATAAATACGTTATACGTATAATATACACATACGTATGATACAGATAGGATCTGTAGATCTTATTGCTACCGTCAATGTTTGATATGGCCAAATGATGTCAAATGTATTTAGAATTTAGAAGATCCATGGATTCAATGAGATTGAGTCTAAACATCAGTGATCAATAGTACTGAAGGCGCCATCACAATGGCGATCCAAGAAAGAGAGTCGGTCTCCCAGCACATTTCACAAGATGTAAGTGCATGGCTCAAAACTAGATTTCTCCCAAAATTAAAAAAGTCCCAAAACCAACTGCTTGAAAACTATAGCCACTCAAAAACAGCACCATTTAGGAATCTTGGAAGTTTGAACAGTTTGAACCATCCACAAGTTGGGCATCCCTGCTACTCTGCGAGCGCGGCGCCCGCTCCTCAAGTTCCCAGAGTCCGTGGGCCGCGTGGGCCAGTTCACACACTGTATCTAGGTATAATTTAGTATATGGTATAGTATGGTATAGTCAAAATTTGATTCAAAGCTCTGGGTTTTTTATTTCATAGTCAAATTTGATTCAAAGCTCTGGTTTTTTCCCCACATCTTTGTGTGGGGTTCTTGTTTTTGATTCTGTATCCCGGGCTCCTCCTCCGCCTTCTCCTCCTCCGCCCTCCTCCACACTTTGTCCACACACACTTTATCAACAAACACTTTGTCCAAAACACTTTGTCCACACACACTTTGTCCACACACACTTTGTCACCACACACTTTGTCCACAAACACACTTTGTCCACACACACTTTATCAACAAACACTTTGTCCAAAACACTTTGTCCACACACACTTTGTCCACACACACTTTGTCACCACACACTTTGTCCACAAACACTTTGTCCACAAACACTTTGTCCACACACGCTTTATCAACATACACTTTGTCACACACAACACACACACAACACACAACATACACTTTGTCACCACAACACACACACACAACACACACGCACACACACACACCCCAACAGACACAACACACAACAACACACACACAACACGCACACACACACCAACAGACACAACACACAACAACACACACAACAACACAACAACACAACAACACACACACACACGCGCAAAAGACACTTGGTGACATTCACACACACACACACAACAACACACACACACAACACACACACACACAACACACACACAAAAACACACTTGGTGACATCCGTGGCAGGCGTGGCCTTGGTTTCACGTGGCAGGCGTGGCACAAACTCACATGGCGCCTGTGACGGCTTGGGCGCCTGTGACGCCGCGGCACTTTGCGTGGCAGGCGTGGCACAACCTGACATCCACCTTCATTTCACGTGGCAGCACACACACACACACAACACACACGCACACACACAGCACAAAGTCACATCCACCGTCGTTTTGCGTGGCAGGCGTGCGACAGATGGCACTTTCACGTGGCAGGCGTGGCACAAAGTCACATCCACCGTCGTTTTGCGTGGCAGGCGTGGGACAGATGGCACTGGGTGGCGCGCTTGGACCGGCTTGGGCGCCTGTGACGCCGCGGCACTTTGCGTGGCAGGCGTGGCACAACCTGACATCCACCTTCATTTCACGTGGCAGGCGTGGCACAAAGTCACATCCACCGTCGTTTTGCGTGGCAGGCGTGGGACAGATGGCACTGGGTGGCGCGCTTGGACCGGCTTGGGCGCCAATGACGCCGCGGCACTTTGCGTGGCAGGCGTGGCACAACCTGACATCCACCTTCGTTTCACGTGGCAGGCGTGGCACAAACTCACATCCACCGCCTGTGACGCCGCGGCACTTTGCGTGGCAGGCGTGGCACAACCTGACATCCACCTTGGTTTCACGTGGCAGGCGTGGCACAAAGTCACATCCACCGTTGTTTTGCGTGGCAGGCGTGGGACAGATGGCACTGGGTGGCGCGCTTGGTCCGGCTTGGGCGCCTGTGACGCCGCGGCACTTTGCGTGGCAGGCGTGGCACAACCTGACATCCACCTTGGTTTCACGTGGCAAGCGTGGCACAAAGTCACATCCACCGTCGTTTTGCGTGGCACCACCTTGGTTTCACGTGGCAGGCGTGGCACAAAGTCACATCCACCGTCGTTTTGCGTGGCAGGCGTGGGACAGATGGCACTGGGTGGCGCGCTTGGACCGGCTTGGGCGCCTGTGACGCCGCGGCACTTTGCGTGGCAGGCGTGGCACAACCTGACATCCACCTTCGTTTCACGTGGCAGGCGTGGCACAAACTCACATCCACCGTCGTTTGGCGTGGCAGGCGTGGCACTTATGGTACTACGTGGCGCGCTTGGGCCGGGATTTGGCGCCTGTGACGCCGCGGCACTTTGCGTGGCAGGCGTGGCACAACCTGACATCCACCTTCGTTTCACGTGGCAGGCGTGGCACAAACTCACATCCACGTCGTTTTGCGTGGCAGGCGTGGGACAGATGGCACTGGGTGGCGCGCTTGGGCCGGCTTGGGCGCCTGTGACGCCGCGGCACTTTGCGTGGCAGGCGTGGCACAACCTGACATCCACCTTCGTTTCACGTGGCAGGCGTGGCACAAACTCACATCTACCGTCGTTTTGCGTGGCAGGCGTGGCACTTATGGTACTGGGTGGCGCGCTTGGGCCGGGATTTGGCGCCTGTGACGCCGCGGCACTTTGCGTGGCAGGCGTGGCACAACCTGACATTCACCTTCGTTTCACGTGGCAGGCGTGGCACAAACTCACATCTACTGTCGTTTTGCGTGGCAGGCGTGGGACAGATCATCTCTCACACACCGTCACAGACCATCTTTCACACACCATCTTTCACACACCGACTTTGTCACACGCCATCTTTCACACACAACTTTGTCACACGCCATCTTTCACACACAACTTTGTCACACACCAACTTTGTCACACGCCATCTTTCACACATCAACTTTGTCACACACCATCTATCACACACCTCTTTGTCACACCCCACCTTTCATACACCATCTTTCACACATCACATTGTCACACACCATCTTTCACAAACCCTCTTTCACACACCACTTTGTCACATACCATCTTTGACACACCGCTTTGTCACACACCACTTTGTCACACATCACATTGTCACACACCATCTTTCACACATCACATTGTCACACACCATCTTTCACACACCACTTTGTCACATACCATCTTTGACACACCGCTTTGTCACACACCACTTTGTCACACACCATCTTTCACACACCATCTTCCACACACCACTTTGTCACACGCCATCTTTCACACACCGTCACAGACCATCTTTTCACACCATCTTTCACACACCATCTTTCACACAACACTTTGTCTCGCACCATCTTTCACCACACCATCTTTCACACACCACTTTGTCACACACCATCTTTCACCACACCATCTTTCACACACAACTTTGTCGCACACCATCTTTCACCACACCATCTTTAACACAACTTTGTCACCCACCATCTTTCGCCAAACCATCTTTCACACACCAATTTGTCACACACCATCTTTCCCACAACTTTGTCACACGCCCTCTTTCACACACAACTTTCGCACACACCATCTTGCACACACCACTTTGTCACACACACTATCTTTCTTAGTCACACACCAGCTTTCACATACAACTTTGTCACACACAACTTTGTTTTACTTCTCGGTCCTCCACCACCTCCTTTGTCTTTCCTTCCTTCCCCGTCCCCGCTACAACATTTGGTGCTTTTTATTCAAAGAAGTTGTCTTGTGGGGTTATCCGGTCCTTTAATTTAATTTCATAGTCAAATTTGATTCAAAGCTCTGGGTTTGTTATTTCATAGTCAAATTTGATTCAAAGCTCTGGGTCTTTTTATTTCAGTCAAATTTGATTCAACTCTCTGGGTCTTTTTATTTCATAGTCAAATTTGATTCAACTCTCTGGGTCTTTTTATTTCATAGTCAAATTTGATTCAAAGCTCCGTTTTTTTATTTCATAGTCAAATTTGATTCGAAGCTCTGGGTCTTTTTATTTCATAGTCAAATTTGATTCAACTCTCTGGGTCTTTTTATTTCATAGTCAAATTTGATTCAAAGCTCTGTTTTTTATTTCATAGTCAAATTTGATTCAAAGCTCTGTTTTTTTATTTCATAGTCAAATTTGATTCAACTCTCTGGGTCTTTTTATTTCATAGTCAAATTTGATTCAAGTCTCTGGGTCTTTTTATTTCATAGTCAAATTTGATTCAAAGCTCTGGGTCTTTTTATTTCATAGTCAAATTTGATGCAACTCTCTGGGTCTTTTTATTTCAGTCAAATTTGATTCAAAGCTCTCTTTTTATTTCATAGTCAAATTTGATTCAAAGCTCTGGGTTTTGTATTTCAGTTAAATTTGATTCAAAGCTCTGGTTTTTTAATTTCATAGTCAAATTTGATTCAAAGCTCTGGGTTTGTTATTTCATAGTCAAATTTGATTCAAAGCTCTGGGTCTTTTTATTTCATAGTCAAATTTGATTCAACTCTCTGGGTCTTTTTATTTCATAGTCAAATTTGATTCAACTCTCTGGGTCTTTTTATTTCATAGTCAAATTTGATTCAAAGCTCCGTTTTTTTATTTCATAGTCAAATTTGATTCGAAGCTCTGGGTCTTTTTATTTCATAGTCAAATTTGATTCAACTCTCTGGGTCTTTTTATTTCATAGTCAAATTTGATTCAAAGCTCTTTTTTTTTCATTGTCAAATTTGATTCAGCGCATCTCAAAAACTGGGCATCTGCATTTGGTTGGTGATGGTTGGTGGAAAGCATGTGGAAAAATGACTACTCATCCCTGGCCCCGTTCATCCCTGTTCATATTACATGCCGCTGAACGAAACCCTGGGGGGGCCGTGGATCTATTCATGACTTGGGGGGCCGATTTCGAGAATAAAACGCATCCTATAGGGGCCTGGGATTCACTAACACATTGATATACCCGTATACAGTATACATAATATATACATCCCATTAATCATTAATAGTGGGGTTAATAATGGTTAATAATGGTTAATAATGGTTAATAATGGTTAATAATGGTTAATAATGCTTAATAATGGTTAATAATGCTTAATAGTGGTATACCTATTTACATTCATTGTATCCCATGAACATACATGAATATACCACTGGCGGCATCTGAGCACCCGTGCAGCCGACGTCATCGGTCGGTAGATGTAGCCACCCCCCACGCGAGCGCAGAGAGTGGTGCGGGGCCCAGCCTCTGAACGAGTTTCATATTGGGTGTTCATAGTTTTAAGTTTTATGTGGCTTTACATGGCTTTACATGGCTTTATATGCCATCAAAACTATTCAAATGTATCGAAAGGATTCAAAAGGTTGGGTTGACCCAGTGGCCTAATCTTTTGTGGGGTTGCCTGCTGAGAAAGGTGAGGCACCTTTTACACAGTGGTCAACTTGGGTGAGTCATCGACTCCTCAACTTGCTGTGTCCAAAAACGATGTCTTGCCACCCAGAACGATTTTACATGGTTTTATATACTTTTTTTTACTCTTCACCAAAAAGGAATATAAGGTGAAACCTATTCTAAATACCTTATTTTTCCAATCACTTACCCTCTGGTAATTTAACATAGCTATTGAAAATCACCAATTTTAATGGGAAAATCCACTATTAATGGTCATTTTCAATAGCTACGTTAAATTACCAGAGGGTACCACTAAAATCATTAAGCACATGAATTTCATACCTGGGATTATCCTGGGATTAACTGGGTGAAAAAATGATCGCTTCCTCTTTTTACTATTCACCCAGATAGGTTCCAAGCAGCCATCAACCCGTTAGATCTTCAGTCTTGGCGCCCTGACCCGGAATGGGGCTTCTCCCACCTGAAAAACAGCGCTTCAGAATGGCGTGGTGTAGGGAAACATCCGCTGAAAATCAGTATTCTTACCAGAAAATACAAAGGTTTTCTGATGTGTTCTGTGAATGTCCCCTTCATCCAATTCCATTAAGTGTTGGTGGGCCTCCTTTCATAGGAGCACATTTAAGCAACAAGACCCCTGAGTGTTTTCATGCAAACACCAACCTAAACGCAACATTCGCAAAATAATGGGTCAAAACAAAACATCATCACAAATCCTGCATTCAGCTAGCGGGAAGCCAAAAAGGCAAGACACTGTTCCGCACCTGATTTCTTTAAAACAATACAAAAAGAGACGACTTTAGCAGTTCCCTGTACAGAAACACACTTCATTCCAGAAAAGGTGACGAAAAAAATTAGCTCGGATTTCGCCCATCGAAAAATCAACGTTTTCGGCGCCATCTGATGGCAATCTTTGGGTGTCCAATTTCGAGACGCAAACTGAGTTGTTTTATCCCAGTTAATTCTGCCGTCACATCATTCAGAATCGTTCTATTCACACAAAAAATCTTTGACATAATTGTTTACATGGCAATCTCAGATATCATTCAAAAAACATCAAACAACATCAATAAGCTGGTTAGGTTCAAGGCCTTTTGTCGCCAACAAAAGCACTTGGTCAGTTGGTACTTTATTGTGTCCATCCGATTCCATCCTGCCGGGAAAGTGGGATATCCATGGGAAGCCGCGGCTGGGGAAGCCACAATTTAAGGTATACCCATTCTATCCCAATTTCCCAATTTCCCAATCTCCATCAAGTGGTGGGTTAGTATCGATGATGTTTAATTGGTTGAATACAAACATCCCTTAAGTTTCATGATCAAATCCACCACAATCTTCATGAAAAAGCTATAAATTTTTGCGTCGTTAAAATAACAAGTGTCCTCAATTTTCTTGGCTTAATCCATTTTTGTTGGTTCGCAACATCTCCTATTTTTGCTGGTAAAATCCTCATCATGGGCATCCATGGGCCTTCTCAGCAGTCTGCATCGCATCACGGGTCAGGGTTCATGGGTGCGAAATGGAACGGATCGATTTTTGCTGTCAAGAAAATGGTTGGTTGGTAGAGGATGACAGTGCGAAAACCCAACTTAAATGTACTTACTGTAATTAACTTCTTTTGGGATGACACTGGTTTTCCAAACTTCATTACACATTTTTTGCACCTTTTTTTGTGATACGGTACTCCGGAAAAGAGGTGCCCAGCAGTGTTTTCCCTTCTGACCTGGAGTCAACGACACGTTGGGATTGGGCTTCATGGTGACATGGGAATCGTGGGACATCTTCCACATCGCCCAGAGGTCGATATGCCAAGAAAATCCTTCAATGATTGTGCTGGTTGGTGGTTGACCTACCCCTCTGAAAAATATGAGTTTGTCAGTTGGGAATATTATTCCCAATATATGGGAAAATAAAAAATGTTCCAAACCACCAACCAGTTGTGGGGTCAATGCCTGGAGCGTCTGGACCCACTTTGGGCTTCTCAAAAGTGCTGCGATGGAAAGTCTCAGCAGCTTCATTGTTTAAACTCCGCGTGAAAGTTGAAACATGTTGAAACCCTCTACATAGCCAAGCTATGCCAAGCTCAACTACTTGTGGGATATCACATTCTTCCGCTGACCAATCATTTTCCAAATCACAGCCACACCGACGTCCTCTTGTGTAAGCTTCATTGTTTCAATACTTGTGGGATATGAAGCAAAAAAAGATCCCACAATGCAAAAAAACTCGAATGGTTTCTGTTTTTCCCCGCAATTGGTATACATAATGACATAATACACGTGCAGAGATGTGCAGAATCAATTTGAACCAAACACCTTGCTGATTTGGAAGCTTGCTCTGTCTGATGCCTGATCAGACTATCCCTTCATTGCAAGAAAGCAACATGGGATGGTTTGACTTTGAGCTTTGATGAGCAACATGGGATGGTTCCCACGACTTCGGGAAATCGCACCTTTTGCTGGGTGAAACATCGCAGCGGTCGGGCTGTAGCTTTGACATCCTTTGACTCAACGGACCGCCCAAAAAAACGCACCGCCACGCGCCACGGGGCGAGCGACACCTTTGGAGCACTCTGGATCTCGCCCAGGGCTGACACTGGCTGATACACCTGGAGAGTATCAATAGGATTCAATGGATATCAATGGCTTGGTGCAAATTCGACGAGAAACCATCATCAAATACAGATTTCACTGCAAAAAAAGTCCTTCAACCAATTCTCGGATAGTAAGTCCCAGAATTCTTTGGGTCAACAGACTATAAGTCGGTCATGGTCATGGTCGTTAAGCAGAAAAACTGTGACCCAACATGAAAGTACTGAGACAAATGTTGGCAAAGCGCCGCAAATCCATGGGGATCACTGCCGTCCGCGCCATGGCCATTGGCCCAGTAGTGGATCAAATGGATGTTTACTTGCAGCAAACCATGAATGGCAAGTTTCAAAAAGAACCATCATTTGCCAACTACTGGTTCTGTAGAGGGTATACTGACTGAGCTACTTTTGTCTTTTCTTCACAGTCAGCAGGACGATATTGCTGTCCTGTCACCAGCTGCATGCTGATTCGCACTCAGCGATTTCTAATACATAAAACTGTTGCATGAGCATTTCCAAAACATTGAGACCCCCCGTACCCATCGAATTGTTTTCTATAAATCCGCAAAAAAATATCCAACATGAATCAACATGGTCGATTTCAAATGATGTCAATGCTGAAAACACCCTTTTGTGTCCGAATTTCTACCTGCTCGCTACTTGGACAAACTCCACCTTTGGGTCTGGGGCGCTGAAGCGGCACATTCGGCTCAGTGACTAAAAGCCTTCCATGCGAAACAGATCTGGTCAGGACCATTCACCCAACCTCCCCAAATAACCCCCAACCAAATTGCGATTACTAAGGGTTTATGGGCTAAATCCAACAAAGTTAACTCCAAAAAATTACCAAGGGCTTATTAACCACCAACAACCAGGATGACAATGGTTATGTATTGTTGGGGGCACGCCTTTGGTTCATTGCCCACCACGACAATCAACCAGTGGCCTTTGTCGGATGTCGGAAAAATGGGGGACCCCAGTCCATCCGCTCATCATCATTTTCCCTACTGAACTGCTGGCCTTTGGGGTACCCTCTGGTAATGACTAACATAGCTATGGAAAATGGAAATAGAGATAGTTGATTTACCCGCTAAACAGATAAACATGGTGATTTTCCAGTTCGCTATCTTAGTTTACCAGAGGGTATCTCCACTGTTAAACACACCCACACATTACCATACCAAATAAACATTACCGGGAACCCTAAACAGCAAAAACTAAATTGATCTACAATAAATGGTGATCTATCCCAACAACGATTGTGAGAAATGGGGACGGTTCACGACCACATTTAATGAAACAACCATCTCTCCTGGTTGCTTGCGGTTCCAAGCGTTGACTAGTGAAACCTCTTACCACATTTTTTTCCCCTTCACTTGTTGCCTGGGTAATGGCCACAAAAAAACTGTACAATACTCACACTTCATCATCTTATACCAACTTAAGCCAGGCTGGCAGACACAAACATTTTTGAAACATGCCATGGATTGGAGATTTTGGGAGCACCTTTGCCCTGAAGATCCGGTTATCGGATCGAAAGTGGGAACCTCAAGTCATTTATGAACCGTCGGGTCGTGTTGGATTTAAAAGAGAAACTCGGCCAATGTCGTACAAAACGGCCAAACTCCTGACAGGGGAGATAATGGATTGATATGGATTGATAACATGATATGCGGATGCCACCCATGTTATGTTTCCGTGTTTTGAATCCATGAAACCAGCGGCCACGTGGATTTGCCTGTTTGGAAAACCGAGTCAACAAGTGAGCAGTGTTAGACCCCCATTATAACTCTGTCATCCTGTCGTCCCTGTAAAAATAATCCTCATAAGATCAAGTAGTATAGCCCCTGGTGAACCTAAGTTGTACAAGGATTTTTCGCGTGGTAATTTTAGGCATTTGGAACCAACCCACGAAAGAAATGGTCATTTTGGAAACAATCAATGTCTTGGCGTACATTTTGTGATCTCCAGGATACACCAACTGGCATTGTTAACAATCCAGCATTCTACCGAAATTTTGACAATTTCCATTTGGATGTGCTCAGTTGTGGGGTATACCGTATAATTACCCCAGTTATGAACTTAGGTTGTTACATGTTCTTAGCCACTTACTGGTCCTCCGGCCAACCGCACCTGGGGTTCAGCCTTCACCTTCTAATCGTGGCAAGTAGTTGACGCCTAACGGGTATGGCGCAAAATTTATTGACTCCCAAATTGGATGTTTTAATTCAAACACTCGCAATTTGCATGGGTTGATTAGTATCCCATGTTTGAACCATGGCTGGTGATGCGGATGTTTCAATACCGTATTGTTGCAATATTTCGTAAGAAAAAAACATTAAAATGTCACTCAGGGACCATGGAAGATGATTTAGCAATTATATTCATTGGAATTATCTGTTGAAATTCAATTAAACAAATAGAAACTTGGAATGGGATGTTGGGCAGGTTTGTTCAAAATTAAGTGTTTCATGTTGCCCAGTATTGGCAGAATACCAGTTCCAAGAAAACATAAAGCCGTTTCAGGGCAACCTGGACATCTGCACTCCTGAACATGTGAAAGCACACTGCTTTTGATCCTGGTTTTGGATTTCCCTCCAAAAGGATTGCAACAGTCGTCGCATCAATGGCATTTGGCATAAGATATTCCCGTCACATCTCTGAGGATTGCTGCTGAGGACAATGGAAGCTGCAGACAGGAGGAAGGCGCAGGACACCCACCTCAATGTGTGCCAAGTGCAAGTGACGAATCCTAGCATCACCAAAGACGAAATGATGGCAGGGATGGCCGCTGGCATGGGGGCGAACTTGCCAATCTTCACTGAGCCCAGGGCTGGTTTGAACTCGTGGCCGCTACAAAGCGTTCCTGGAAGTGGAATTTGCGCCCCAGAAGTAAAGGCGCAGCTGCTTGACAGGTTCAGCTTTCAACACGTGATTGCCAATGCGAAAAGCTGGTAATTACAAGTAGCACAGCTGTGGTATCGTGGTTTGCGCTTTCGGCCGGAAGCTTTCCGAAAGAAACGAACCACTGCCCCTGGGCCACTGGCCCAGCCAGGTGGCGCTGCACGAGCTTCTCTGCTGTCGAAAGTCGCAACCATCATGACCTCAGCTCAGCTGCAAGGCAGCTCCACGCCGCAGGGCGCGAGGCGATGCTACAGCAGTCCCACTGGTCATGTGGCACGTTCTCACAGGTTGTGACAGCAGTGTGCGACATTTGGCTCCAGTAAATTTCTGTTGTAAATAATACAGCATGAGTCAGGGGCGCGCGGCTCGAACTCTTGTCTGTCTGTGAACTCTCACCATCCAGGGATATATCTGAGCATGGAAAGAACCAATGGTTGAAAGGATTTCCCCTGCTGACCAACGGTGTCGTTGTGATATCCTTAAGGCGAACAATAACAATCACCCTTTACAACATGCACAACCACGAATCGCACAATGTCCAAACACCAGCGAAGCAAGCCCTTGAAGAACATCTAGGGGCGTTGTATACTGGTTTGTATACAGTAAACAGAAGTTCTGCCGCTCATCAATACTATCGTCTGCAAGTTGTGTTTTTGCTAGTTGTAGTCTGTTATCTGTCTCATAGATTTGCAGTTGCAGCACCAAGACCTGACTGAGGAATGTTGAGTGACGAAGATAGTCGACTTCTGAGTGTACAAGTAGGTCACAATCCAGAATTGTAGAACCAAACAGTGTGCCAAACAGGTTTGTTTTGCTACCCTTGAAATAAATCTAACTCTCAACCCCAAGATTGCAATTTCCAATTGGACAATTACAACTTACAATCCAGTGGCAATCCACTTTAAAGTCTTGGCAGTGTAGTTCTTCTCTAGCTTGAAAACCCGAACTTGTTCGCTGCAAACCTAGGCTTGCCCGCAGCGAATCCGGCATATCCTTTGACATGCTCAAATCCCTGCGTAGGGTTTAAGTATTTTCTTTTCAAAACAACAAATCCTAAAAGCCTAAAACCCTAAAAACACCAAAACCCTAAAACCTAAAACCCTAAACCCTAAATCAAAACCCTAAATCCTGAAAACTTAAAGTCAGAATCACTGCGTATAGCCAGTGTTTTCATTCATCCTCTGGTTATAAGTATATCATATTGTTTGGATGTGTTGTTTGACTGCGGGCGAAGACGGGGTTTGGAGGGAACTTGTTGAGACCTCAATGGAAGCTGCCAAATCTGTGAAGATTTTAGTAGTTCCCGAAGAATACCAACTGATTATTTAACATAGCCATGGAAAATCCCAACCATAAATGGAGGTTTCTAGCTGGGAAATTCATCTACTGTATAAATGGGCCATCTATACCATGGCTATGTTAAATAACCAGGGGGTAACTCCGTTGGACCTATGGCTTTACCTCAACATGAACCAATCCGGTTACCGATGTTGATCTCCATGGGCGAAGTTCCACGAGACACCCGGCTTGGAATTCGTTTGAGAAATGATAAATATTGAGAACTTGCCATGTGTTTAAGATACCATCTGGTATTCTAATAGTTTGCGACAACCATCATAGTTTTCCTTTTTGGTACATTAAAATACAAACAGGTCATTTTCCATAGTACCAAGCTAGATCACCAGAGGGCAATCAACAAACATCAGCTTCAGAACCCATAGCTGTCCATTGGGGCCGTCGCCAACAATATCCAACAATAATCGTGTTTGGGATGGTCCTTAAAAATTGCGGGTCACCCGCACATCCAATTGCTTTTTTCATAATTGTCCATTTATAGAAACGGGTAGAAGTAGAAGTTGTAATTTTTTGGGGGGGGCGGTATCCGGTATCGCCAATTTTCAGACACACCCAAACACCCCAGATGGTTGGTTAATGATACCAGTAGTACCGCACAAGGCGGTGGCGGAAGTTTCAAAAATTGGAAGAGAGTTTGGTTGTTGTGAATCACGGATGGCAGAGCGAAGCCACTGATGGACTGAAAGGTGCTTGAGGTCTCCTCTCTTTCTCTCTCTTTCTCTCTTTTTCTCTTTGTTTCTCTATCTTTCTCTGAGTATCTACCGACCTACCTACTGATCTATCTGTCTACCTATCTATCTGTCTATCTGTCTGTCTGTCTATCTCCCTATCTGTCTATCTATCTATCTATCTAGCTGTCTAGTTTTCTAGCCATTTGTCTATCTATCTCCCTATCTATCAACATCTATCAACATACATCTATCTATCAATCTATCAAACAATCAATCTATCAATCAATCAATCAATCAATCTATCTATCTATCTATCAACATCTATCTATCTAACAACATCTATCTATCTATCAACATCGATCTATCTATCAACATCTATCTATCTATCAACATCTATCTATCTATCAACATCTATCTATCTATCTATCTACCTATCTATCTATCTATCTATCTATCTATCTCATCTACCCAGCTGGCCTCTCTCTCTCTCTCTTTCATCTAATTACCTATCTATCTATCTATCTATCTACCTACCTATCTATCTGTCTCTCCCTTTCATCTGTCTATCTGTCTAGCTGTCTACCTGTCTGTCTGTCTATCTATCTATCTGTCTACCTGTCTATCTGTGGTGCAGTGTCATTCAGTGTAATGTAGTGTGGTGTAATGTAGTGTGGTGTAGTGTAATTTAGTGTAGTGGAGTGTACTGGAGTGTAGTGTAGTGTAATATAGTGTAGTGGAGTGTAGTGTAATCTAGTGTAGTGTAGTGTAGAACCTCCAAAAGTGGTCTGAACCCCTAGTGTTTTTAACATTTTGACTTCAAAATGTGCTTCGCGCCACAACGGCATGCACTTTTTCAACATCCGAACCTCCAAAAGTGGTCCGAACCCCTGGTGTTTTTAACATTTTGACTTCGAAATGTGCTTCGCGCCACAACGGCGTGCACTTTTTCGACATCTGAAACTCTAAAAGTGGTCCGAACCCCTGGTGTTTTTAACATTTTGACTTCGAAATGTGCTTCGCGCCACAGCGGCATGCACTTTTTCGACATCTCAACTAGTAAAAATGGTCCGAAGCTGGTGTGTTTTGTACATTTTGACTTCGAAATCTGCTTCGCGCCACAACGGCGTGCACTTTTACGACATTGCAACTTCCAAAAGTGGTCCGACAATGGTGTGCTTTGTGCATTTTGACTTGGAAATGTGCTTCGCGCCACAACGGCGTGCACTTTTTCGACATCTCAACTGCCAAAAGTGGTCCGCACCTGGTTTGTTTTGTGCCTTTTGACTTGGAAATGCGCTTCGCGCCACAACGGCGTGCAATTTTTCATCTCTCATCTGGCCAGCTGGCTCCGCACCCGCCGCTTTAGCGAGCCTACTTTTCGACCCTCCGGAGCCACAAAACATTGGAAAGACACAGTGTTTCGCGACTTTCCTACCTTTTTCGCGCATCTGCATCTTCTTTCTTCTGACTCTTTCTCTTCTACGCTTCTCTCTTCTAATCTTTCTCTTCTCTCTGACCCTTTCCATCTCTGCTTTTCATCTGTCCATATTGTCGGAAGTTTGACTTCTAAACTTCCTTCGATCATATTCATGATTCATTCATATTCCCATATTCACAATTTCCGGTAGAACTTCCCCATTCACAATCTAATATATATATATTGTTATTATTATTATTAGTATTGTTATTATTATTCTTATTATTATTACTAAAAATATTATTATTATCATTATTATATATATACATATGTGTGTATATATATATCCCATATTGACACGCGACCCATATAGTTCGTAAATCTGGTTTAAAAACAATATCATCTGTATCCAATCATATCCCATCGTGAATAACACATTCATATTGATAATACATATATATATATCTTGATACTCCTAAAATGGGGCTGCCCCCAAATCATCCATGTTATTGTCTGATTCTCCATTCTAAACCATCCAGCTATTGAGGTACCGCCATGACTAGGGAATGTATTCTTGATATTGATATGGGTTTGTCTGAAAATAGTGTACCCCTAAACCCAGTGGTTTTGCTGATCATTATCCCGTTTTTAAATGGCTATTTCATTGGGAAGATTAACCCAACATTTTCAGACATACCCATATGTCTTACATGTTTATGTTCATAATATCCCATGATTCAGAATTTTCATATGTTCTTACCATCCCAAATCATCCATGTTTAGGCAGGGCAGGCAGGGCAGGGCCCCAACCCCCGCCAGCACCAGCAGGGCGAAGCCACCTGAAGGCAAAAAACAAGGCGTAAGAAACATGTGCAAGATGAAGATGGGGATATGATATCAATCTCTTATATAAGACTTTATTATTACACCTTATCAAAACCTGTATGTATATATTATACAGGTTATGCACATATGGATATATATATATATATACATTGTATTATAATTACATTTATAATAACATATAATGACAATGATCATATTAAAACGGTTGGAATTACTAGTTACTATGACATTGTTGTTATATTATGTCACTCATATAGCAAACAACAAGAAAAAGATGCCGATAATACCTTGGACAGCTGGAACTATACCATCTTTGGACATCTTTTCGGGGAGTTTCTAAGCTTTAAAAGAAAACAATCGGTAATCGTGATACATTGATACTATTAAATAGATTCAAATAGTATGACATGATGTACTGTGAGATAATTATGATATACCATCCGGTAGTTTTATATAGCCATTGAACATGTACAGTTTAGTTCGATGATGTACCTGTACCTATCCAACATGGTGATTGTTCATAGCTTCTGTTAAATCACAAGAGAATACTTGAATAACGCATCAACACCGCTAAGGTTAGAAGTTGGCAAACTCCAAAACCTTTGAAAATAGTGGAAACATGATGTGCATTGATGTAAATTGAAGCTGTTCTGAATCTGGGCTTAGTAGAGCCATTGGAAGAACTCCCTGGATGTTGCGGAGGTGATTCACATTGATAAGCCATGAGATATTTGAGTCACCATAGTCAGCCTGTTTCAGGACTATCCCAGCAATGTTCTCACTGCGACCTGCTGCGCCAAGTTGCACAATAAGACATATCCCGATCTGGCGGGAAGAGCTTGGAGTACACGGGTGTCGTTCAAGAATGGGAAATACCGGGATACAGTGATGATATACCCGCAATGTTTATTCTTTCATGGGGGAACTGGGGAAACCAATGAGAAATCACTCAGATTTTACTGTCTTGGACCCAGCCAAATATGCTTTGAGGGAACCATGGTATAATTCCACGAACTGAATGGCACCGCCCTTGTCTTAAATCAAGGGCATGGTTTCCTGCAATCTTTCTTTGAATCAACCCAGTTCATGTTAAAAACCACAAACACAGAATTGGAGAAGCTCAAACTAAACACTCGAGTCAATCCAATCCGCAACTGCCACACCCGTGAGTAAACTAACATAGCTATGAAAAATCACCATTCTTCGGTAAATCATAAATCAACTATAAATGGGCCAGGCCATTTTCCATAGCCCCTGCCCAGCTGGAAATTTGATTCGACTGGCTCACAGGGTTGCTCCTAACCCCAGATTCCACTGCCTATCACCCACGAAACAGGTTACAGCATATACATAAATACCAAAGCTGGGAAACACATCCTCTGAAGTTGTTCACATCTAATGAATCCAATGGGACAAACGAGTGGTCCAGAAGCAACACCACTGGAACATCCGACGCTGAAAATGCACCCGTCACAGTGGTGGTCAGACCTTCAGCACAAACGCTCTTGATTTTTGGGATGACAAGTCAAACATATCAATTCAAGATGCGCAGATGAAAAAACACCTAAGCATGTAATTTGTACACGCCTTTTCATCATCCTTAAGCTACATAAATTACTTTTGTGTGTGTATGACGTGTATGATTCTTCCCTGTCAGACTCTGCACCTTCCAGAGTGGAGAAAGTTAAAGAAGCTTGATACCACGGAATCACGTGCCGCTGCCGCCTTGGTGCCCGCGTCATGTCCATAATTTCTTCTGCTTCGCTGATTTTATTGGATCAGAATGGATATCCATAATATGTTCCATTCATATTATCCATTGGGATCATTGATGGATATGATTGGATAAAAATCTCTGTTATTTCCATAATATTATCCATAATTATACCGGCTATGGATCTATGATTTTTCTGGAGCCGCAAGAACTTAAATCTCGAGGATCATCATCCCAGGATGGATACGATGAGTTCCAATCCACCAACTTGCTCATCAAAACGGTTAACAAAAATGTAGCTATTAAAAAAAAAAAAAACATTCTGGCTGCCCATGGGAAGATATGGGATGTCCCCAGTTTAGATGATTAAATTTCATACTAAATCCCCATGTTTATGTCATGTTTGATGCTTATTCCATGACCCAAAGCTTGAACATCTCCAAAAATTCTCCCAACGCTCTGAGTTTTCAGACATGTTGGACAATCCGGATCGCCATGTCGCTGACGGCACATCATGGGACGATGCTGGAGCCAAGATGAGCTGGATGCCGGGCTGTTGGATGCCCAGTAAACAAAAGGCTGCTTTGACACAGCACAAATTGACCAGCAATTTACCAACTTCGGGGTCCTGCTGAGAGAGCATCCATGTTACGTTTCCCTCAGCGCCGAGAGCTCACTTTCGCTGGGCATTGCCAGCGCCGAAACACTTTGGAGGTCAAGTTGCCCAAACGCCGAGGGGGCCGTCCAAAGGGTCTTTCCCAATCCCTGGCGCCTAACATTAGATGAGTATGTGTCAAGACAAAGGGGGTGGCATACGATCCTAGTGACAGACCATTTTGTCTGCGGGTTAAATCATGACACATACCCAAATACCCATTTAACCAGCCAGCTATCACATTGCCCAGTCCCATTTTGAGGTGATCATATCAATACCGTACCTGCCCCGGGCACGCTATGGTAGACAGCTGGCAATTTCTGATGCTAGAGACTGTCACAAGGCGCCAGCCATGGCGCCATCACCAGGTGATTGAAACAACCAATCTTCGATCAGCACCTGAGGCGAGTTCAAGGTGGTTCACAGTGCCAAGTTCAAGGACTTCCTAACCATGGGCTACTCATCACTAAGCGGATTTCATGAATTGGGATGATTATCATGATTATCCAAGTGGGCGCGACAGCAAAGTACAGAAAACCTGGACTGGGCCACCATACTTTTGATTGCCTGTTCCGTAACCACCGGGGTTTCTTTGCTTGTTGTAGCTGGTCAACATTCACCATGGCAGAGGGAACCAACAGCAACCGTTCACAATAAGGCCTATGCCTGAAAACCCATCAAATACCATCAATTTCCCACTCCCCAAAGTCGACCAAGTTTCGCTCGAAGACATTTTGGGGTCCCAACCCAATTGGACAGAATAGGGGTGGTCAAAATCATGTATCAACCCCTCATAGGCATGATGTCGACATGATTTCTACATGATTTCTACATGACCAGCGCGGCTTTTGATCCTTTTTTTCTGTGTCCAAATCGGTTCCCCAGTGACGACCGAGGAACATAATCCAGGTCAGGCAGTTCGGTCAACATCTTCAAGCACTCCTTGATGCTGTTGGCTATGGGCTGCCCCCGCGCATTGAAGCCTCTCCGTGAGGACCCCGGGACCCCAACCCACCGTACTGGTGCATCGTCCAAGAAGAATACTATTCATGATCCACTGTGGGGGGAATACTTGCTGGTGCTAAACCTAGGGAATTTTCGGGAATGATCCACTGGCTAACTATTCATAGTAATCCCAGCAACCCCCAGAAACCCATCCATTCCCTACGTAAAATGCACCAGTAAGAATAGTCATGGCAGCACATCCTTAAATAGCCTCAAAGCAGCACATCCTGGGTGCAAAGTGTCCCCGTGTTTCAAATGGAACACCGCTAATAGAGATGGCAGAACATTGATGAACATCCCATAGCGCAAGGGGATGGAGCTGACTCCCAAACACAAGGCCTGAATAGCCATGGCTAGTGCTGTGGAACCGATTTTGCAAGTATTATACATATGTATATGTGTGTAATTATATATATATATTGTCGAATATTCGGTAAATGCAATTTGACATGGTTCGCTAAAAGAATCAAGAAATGAAGCATCCATATTGTTGGTTAAGCTACATCTCACATTTTAGTGCCAATCTGTTCCCATAATTGGTTGGTGACTGAGTCTGAGTCTAGTCTGACTCACATGTTTGTGGCTTAAATAACTATGATTATTACATAGAATTATATGTAAAATCCTATTTTGTTTTTTTTTATAATAGTTAAATTATGTAATTTCCCAAATTTAATAGTTAATACTATAACTATAAAATATGCCATGTTATTTAAAATCCCATGACTATGGGAAGAGCATGTATTTTTACATGCTTTCTGTTAGTTAAACCCCTCATTCCACGTTGTCATGTTGATGGTCTGTAAATGCCAGGAAAATTCATGCATTTTTGAGGCACCCAATTTTTCTTGATTGCTTAGATTCCCCTAAAATTGGGGGGTGTCATCCCCATTTTTTCTTGGTGAAGTCCCAGATTTTACTGTACTTTTAGTTTTGGGAAGATCAAATATCTGAAATATGACCATAAATTCTGGTGGAACATCCTTAATTTCTGTCACTGATTTATCATTCCCTTCAGTGCAAACCTTTTCGAACACGACCATCGGTGAGTTGTGAATTGTATCATTCCATATGGGGGTTTCCATTCTTGGGGTACCCAATAGCTGGATGGTTTGCAAGGGAAAATCCATCTATAAATGGATGATGACTGGGGGTACCCCCATGACTTAAGGAAACCCCCATATCTTGGATGGTTTCTTGATCACGTTAAATCATGAATCCCCCCCATGTTAAACACAGAAACCATGGCTTTGCGCAAGGCGCAGTTGAGGTTACACATGGCTATAACATGGCTATAACCATGGGAATTGTTCAACCCTGATATAACTGATATAACCATGGTTACAATCAATATATATATATCCACAAATAATCCACTTATAATCCAGAAATAATCCACAACTAATCCACTTAGAACTGGAACTGCGCCATGGCGCTGGTGTTGATCAGCGCCGCCAGGCCGGTATGCTTGGCCACTGCCAGTAGCAACTGATGGATCCATGGCTCATCGGCTTCACCTAGGTATTGAAAACCCATAAAGGGAGTGAAGTTAACCCAGTTCATTGATGATGATGATGATGATGATGATGAAGATGATGATGATGATATCTAACTTGATGATGTTAATCCAGTTTAGTTTATGAGTAAACCCGGTATTGAATATTAATATTATTATTATTGTCTTAAGAAAAAACATTTTTTAAAGGGAATTAACTGGTCTAAACTAATGATTTGACTAGTTTGTAGATATTTGTATAACTGATGATAACTGGATGAATTTTTGTTCTAGTCCTACTTTACTTTTAACTGCTGTTGCTGTTGTTGTTGTTGTTGCTGCTGTTGTTGTTGTTGTTGTTGTTGTTGTTGTTTTTCCTGAAGAACTTTGACATATGTCAACGGTAAATATATAGATCTTACGGTGAATATAAATAAAAAATAATAGTATAAATATACTTCTGACACATTACCATACATTGTGGGATACAACATGTAAGCCTGTAAAAGATAGAAGTTCGCAAAATCCTGCCTTGGTACATCTGTTTTTCCTGCATCTTCTTGGGTCTTACTATAATTACAATACACATAGCTGGTTTATCACCATAGTTTATTCATAATCATAAGTTAGCACCTTAAGTTTGGTTTATGGTGATTACACAAATAATTTGGTAGCTAAATCTTATATAAATACCACCAACTTCTAAGGCGCGCCAGCTTGTGGCAAGGGAGCTGGAGTCTTAGTATCATTTTATAATCTGGCAACCCCCAAATTTAGATATAAAGTATTAGTAGCAATGGTATGTGTTTTTTACTTACATATTTTTCTGCATCCTTTTGCGGTTTATAGACTCTCTTATCACAATATCTGAGAACATGGGTCACGATACTTGGGAACCAGTCAACTTGAGGATGTCAGCAACGATCATGGGGGCGACATGGGGCACCAAAACTGGAACCAGCTGCTGACAAAGGGCCTACTGATTGATGCCGTGCAGTACCATCCAAGTGTGATAAAGCAGGGAAGCGTTCCAGGACATCCTTCAAGACGCGTGGAGCCATCGACATATACCTAGGTACTGCAAGAATGGGGTACTGCAGCTAGGCGGGTGGAAAGCACACCAATTTGTATATACACTGTAAATAATTTTCATGATGTCAGCTTCTTTTGGGCCAGTTTGGTTGGCTTAGCTACATGACAAGCTTGATTGGGTTGGTTCCTGGTCTTTATCACAGGAGAATTCCTTTATTTGGTAGATGATTTGGGACCCATTTTCTCTTGGTCGCATTCCTACAATTTCTAGAAAAGCAATCTTCTATCACTGTCATTCGTAATATATCTTTGTAAGTACTTACATACATATATATATATAGAATACACCTAAAACATACAGTTTCCACTAAGTTCATAAATTGGTTCAGTTCTGTTTTACTTTCCCAATTTTTGTCGATCACATAAACCACCCCATTTTGTTGTTGCTTCAAAATATCTCCATCATTATTGGTTACGGTTCCGTTCTTTGATGATTGAGAATATTTCAGGGGTGCAGCTCTGTCACAGTATATACCCAGATCGCATTTCATCAAATACCGGTTATAACATGCCATACTACTTACAACATCTTACAACCACTGCAATCATACATTGTTTTAAAATCACCATAAATCCAAGCCTAGGTATAACCCAACGAGCAGTGCCCAACATGGGTACCTAAAAACCTCCAAACGATCAAGTCTACGAGTCAGTTAGTTGAAGCCCTACCCATGACAATGGTAGCGACAGAAATTCTGAAAGCAAGGGTGTTCGAAGTGCAAAGACCTCAATCATCCTTGCCTCATCATTCCACTAAGTGCATATGATGTTACACTTGGTTTCTATATATATATATATCTATTGTGTATATAGTCACCTATATATGCATATCGCACGTTAACCATATCATCATGTTTCATCATTGTTCTGGTTAAGCATTGGCGAAACTACCCGTGATCTATAACTAAACTATATATAATCATCTATAACTATTGTTATTATCGTGCTTATATACTATATATAATTACCGTATCATTACAGTATATACTTTGTCCAAATTTATATAAATCACCAACTTGAAATAAGGTCGTTTTTGGATCGTTCCCTATTTCCTAACCCTCACTTGCAGTAGGGTCGCAGTGAAGTGTCTTTATAATAATCACCACATTTTAAGACAAGTAATAGTTATATAAATTAATCATTGAAGTAGCCTTAGATGAATACACAAACAATGGCAATAGTAATGATCGTCACACAGAATAACGAAACAAATCAATCAACATACAGTTTATCATAATGTCATCGTTTTTTTCAGGGATTCCCGTAATGCACTGTGACAATCAGCAAAATACTGTTAGTATAATCCCCTAGAATCATCAACCAACAATCATTTATCAGTTCTATCTCCACATCCAAAAATATGTGTCATGGTTTTCATCCCATCTCATGACTATTTTTCACCGTCTTTCATGGTGAAATCCAATTAAAACTCCCATGAAATCAGCATTTGTTTGATGGTTTACCCATTAAATCCCATTCAATCATCATTTTTCTTGGTTAAATCATGTTAAATCCCATAAAAGTTCATTAAATCCCATTAAATCACCATTTGTTGGTGAAATCCCATGAAATCACTGTGAAATCACCTCTTTTCATGGTTAAATCCCATGAAATCCCCATTTCTCCTTGGTGAAACCATGACCCCCGGGGCTTCAAAAGCCCACGAGTTACGGCGACTTCACCTCGCGCCCGAAGACCTCAGGGAGCGCCTCGTCGGCGATCATGGGCGCCACTGGGCGGAACCACCTTGGGATGATGACATGACCTCAATACCCTCTGGTGAACTAACATAGGGAAAATCCACTATAAATGGCCATTTTCCATTGCTATGTTAGTTCACCAGAGGGTATATGGAAAAGTAAAATATATTGATAACGAAGACATATTCCATATATTGAGATATTCTGTAGTGGTTATCATATATTGTTGATCATGAATACCTTGGTAGATTCTGTAAAATATACCATGTTCCGAACTGGTATTATGAAAATATATGAGCCTTGGTATGATTCTTATAGATACTGGTAATGGTGGTATTATGAAAAGTAAAAGCCATGTTCCAAACCACCAACCAGTATCTATAATCAATATATACAATATGATATATAATAATATATAATGTGTATATATATAAATATATGAGTGAGTGAAATTATATATAAATATATGATATTGTATACATATCAATTACACGTATACATATATGCATACAATATCATATATATATATATACGTATATACGTGTATATATATATATAATTATGTATATTTGATGTTGAAACTTTTGGGATGAGCCGACGATTTATCTGTTGACCCACTTGGACAAACAACTGGGTCCCTTCCGAGGTCATTTTTTCAAAGCAAATGAAACCAAGCCGCGAAGAAGTGGCTCTCTTGGCGTGGTAAGTTAAATAAGTAATCTCATAAGTTACATATACATATATATATATATACATATTATAAACCCATGGCAAAATAGGAGAGATCCACTTCCGAAGTTCTGAAGCCATTCTGAAATTCCTCCGACCTCCCGCCCTGTCGAGAGCCCTTCCGAGGTGCTGCCGGCTCTTCAAACGATTCATCCCTGAGCTGTGCGAGGATCGTCGTTAGATCATGCGGAAATTTACCAACTTTTTGATGGGAAAAAATCGAGAAAAAACACCTGGAGCAGCGGACATAGAGATAGATCTCACATGATGAAAAGTTGGCCTTTGCCATCAAACTCCCATTCCTGCAGGCCGGGAGATTATGATTCCTTGGATTTTACCGATCTCTTGCTACCGTACATCCCAAGATGAGTTAAGGAAAACTATAAGACACACCACATTTGCCCGGTATTTGCCTGGAAAATCCACATGGTTTCCCAGGTGGATTGATCATCATTGATCCAGGGCACGGTCTCTCATCTTTGCGGAGTCGGGTACTGCCAACAGAGAGCGATGTCCCAACGCACGGGGACCGAACCTTGGGGAAGCCACAGATTTCATCGTGGCGATTGTGAGGTAAAATTTACGAAGCACTTTCGAAGAACTTTCAAATTTTCAAGCCATTCTTTTCTAATCAATTTTACTTATATCATCCCGAAAGGTTGTCAGGGCAACCCCAAAATGCAGCGATTTTGGCAGCAACTTTCATATGATGGGCAATGGAACAAAGCGGGACTGTGCTCCCAACAGCCAAGTTACAAGGGGGGTAATTGGGTAAATAAGGAGTGAGAATCGCTCATTTCGTATCCTTGTGGCCCTGATTTACCAATACTTGGTTGGAGCAACCCTGCAGGCAGTAAGAATGCAGGTGACGTTGGAGGATCCTTAAGGGAAGAACAGTAAAACATAGTAAAATTTTTGGCTGGATACCCCACTTGCAGAAACGCAAGTTGATGAGATCCCGATTCTCACTGGTCCTATCTCCACTACAGTACACTTGGATTCGCTAGTTCCGTTCGCATCCTTTCGCCACCATGTTCATGGTTTACGTTGCCCCTAAGAACAACTCCGGAACTGGGGACCCCATGTGACAAAAATCACCACTTTCGACTTCTTGGAGGCTCATCTCATCCCTATCATCTGGTTCATGTTGGTCCCCAGCTCCACCGAAAAACTGTCTGCAGAATCCGACAGAAACTTCGTCAAGTTCAATTTTTGGTTTGTCCCCCCCCAAAAAAAAATAAAATCTACACACCATTTTTCCATCCAAAACCCATCAGATCCACCCGCTACAAACACTTCCTGTCCACCAAAGGGCTCTTGTCGCCCTCGTACCACCGCAACGATGGGTTTCTCGCCCGGTGGGCCATGGCCTGCAACATGACGGTTGTAACATGTTCCATATGTAACATGATGGATAGTCACGCTACAAGATAGAAAACTGAGTCGCTACTGTACATGTTTTCTTAAGAAAAAAAGATAGCACTGGAATTTCTCCTATCCTTTGTGCGACTATCAGTGAAAGAATGGGTCAGGCATTGCCAGCTGGTTGGAGGTTTATCGCATGTAAGGCTGCGTAAACATGATCAAACAAACAGGATCCGGACAGCGGGATATCTATACTTGTGGGTTTGTCTGAACTTGGGCATCCTATTTCAAATTTCATGGTTACCGTCTGGTAATTTAAC